GTATCCACTAGATTAGTTACAGGATGATCCTCACGTTAGATTATACTTAATATGTTTTTGTTTTAATAGTTTTCCCGATAGTAACCGTTCTCCTGCCAATCGTGCTGGTCGCCAATGAGAATGCTAACATTATGCCACACTCATGCTTAGAATCGGCATCGATGTGGAGCTCGATGGTAAGTACTACCTGGAGACTGATACCATAACTTATAATAAAAATGGCAGAATGTACATACACAGCATGTAGAATATTGTTTATCGCTTCAAAGAGAGCCAGAAGAACTTACCGCTGTTTGGCTACGGTTTGGGTTCAGATAAGTAATCGTTAAATGTCTTCAATTTATTTATAACCTTTCACAATACAAGTTTGCTGTTGGTATTTCACAATAAAAATAGCAATTGCATGCATTCGAAAACTAACAATGACTGACCAAATTCTAATAATCTTTCGCCACTTCTCCCCTCTTACAGACAAAAGTACTAAGGCCATAGCCTTCATGCTGAAGGTTCCACATACAACTCCTCATATGGAGCAAATGCTGGCCATGGCAAACTTCTTCAATACTGAGAATTTGGCTTATGTGGCTCTACAAAGCCAGGGGACTGGACGTCTCATTGGCACCGCGAGCCCATAGGCTAGACTCCAGCGAAGAGCCAAAACTGGCCAATACCGTGCTCATGAACGATCTGGGTAAGGACGGTTTTAAGAATTTGAATCGTCGGGAGTGCCTCAACTTGGAGCAAACCAAGTTTGCCCTTCGAAAACTGGCCCAATACCATGCGGCCACCGCAATGATGATTGAGGTGAATGGCCCTTTTCCAGATGTATTCATGAAAGGTATGCTCGGAACGAACAAGGATGCCATTAAAGCCTTTATGGAAGGAATGCTTGGCCCCTTCCAAGCTAAATTTTTGGAACATCTGGAACATCTAAAAGGTGGAGAGCAGTATCGGGACAAGCTTGTAGTAAGTCTTCTTGATCAATAATCAACCATAAGTGCATACTTTTATCGGCAGATGTGAAATTGTATCCCAAAAGACCAAAACATTTTCGAAATTTGCCTAGCTGTTCCTTAAGCTAAGCGAGTACGATCCCTCGGAGTTTTGTGTTTTGAATCATGGCGATTGTTGGATGAATAATTTGCTGTTCAAGCTCGACTCCAAGGGAGAACCTGAAGATATGGTGTTTGTGGATGTCCAAAATCCCAATTACGGTTCCCCGGTCCAGGACATCTTCTACCTTATCATCACCTCAGTGCACATAGACTACAAGATGAAGTACTTTGACTTCGTTATAAGGCATTACCACGAGTAGCTCACCAAACATCTGGATCTGCTGGCTTTTACAGGTCGTCAGCCTTCCCTCCGGGAGCTCCACTTGCAGTTTTATAAGTACGGAGACTGGGCGCTTTTCCCCGCGATTACAGTGCTGCCTGTCGTGCTCTTGGGTCCCACTGAGGGTGCCACTTTCGAGAATTTCGTGGGTGAAAACCAATCAGCCGGCAACTTCAAAGACCAACTGTTCACCAACCCACAATACCGCAGCTACATAGCGCAGTTGCTGCCTTGGCTGGACAATCGAGAACTGCTGGACATAGAGTGAGTATGTGGATGGACATGGACGGAGCGAGTTGACAAGATGATTGTTGGCATTACATTTTGCAGACAGATGATTAAGAGTGAAGCTCCTGCTCCATTGCCTGCGCAGCCCGAATCCTCCAACAAGACCTTGGACTGGCTAGATGTAAACGACTTTAGTGATATAATTGCCGCCACGGATCCAGAGTTTGAGAGCATTGTGAGCGGATCTTCGATATTGGCAACCAAACCAGGCGACAACTATGCCTCCGCTGCTCAAAGTGAACATCAACGCACAGCTAAAATGTCTGTGAAATTTTGCGAATTTATACGAATGCTCTAACAAAACGTTAAAATGTTTTGTCAGATAAAAGCACCAAGACCTATTCGTATATCCTGAAAGTGCAAGTGGCATCTAATGATATGGTTGGCTTTGCCGACTTTAACCTATTTCCCAAGGAAACTTTGGTATACGGCAAATATGTGCCCGCCGAGGAACTCTTAAGTATGCAGGCCTAGAAGTCACGTTTAGTCCGAAGTCCTATAGGCTGAGCAAACCGGTCAAGGAAGAGTATCTGATTCTGGAGAATCTGCAGACAAGACGGTTCAAGATGTGCGATCGGATGAAGGGCAAGCAAGTGTGCGCTGAAAAAGCTGGCCCAAGGAGCTCAATGGTCCATATCACCCCTTGTGCCAGAAAGGCATCTTTATCGAAAAAACGGCGGAAATTTTCAAGAACATGTTTGCCCAGAGCAGGAAGACCTTTTTGGATGTAATAGCCAAGTTTCAAGGATCTGATGAGTATATGCATAAGATGGTAATATTTTTCATTCTCATATTTCTCATATTATGAATAGTTCAATTAGCAATCTCCCTGCTTTCCTTCTGTACAGCCGTCGATTTTGGAAGCTCATGTGGCGGAAGTCATTAAGGACTCCCAAGTCAATGAGGAAGAGTTCAATGTGCTCAACCATGGGGATGCCTGGGTGAATAACATCATGTTCAAATACGATTCGGACGACTATGTTCAGGAAACCTACTTGATAGATCATCCGGTCTCGCAATACGGGAACCCAGCTCAAGATCTATATTATTTCATAATGAGCTCCACAGAGTTGGATATTAAAGTGGATCAGTTTGATTATCTCATCAGATGGTATCATCAAAATCTAGTGGAACACGCCGGGATCTTGAAATACTCCGGTTTTGTTCCCACTCTAAAGGAACTACACCTCATATTGATACAACATCCCATTTTCGGTACGTCTTGAACAATCGAGTTACGATGTTTAACTTAAATCTCAATTGCGTATTTTCCAGCGGTCGGCACTTTGATTAGTACCCTATCCATTTGCCTCAACAAAGCCGACGACAGGTTTACTACAGATGCCGTTTTTGGCGACAATCCAGAATCAGATGCCCTGAGATCAGGGCTGACATTGAGCGTATTTTGCCTTGGCTAAATAGGCGTGGCTTGCTCGATTTTGCAGAGGACTCTGCGGACGCCGAAAGAACTGTATAACACATAAGATTCACTAGATATATATTTACTACAAAAACAGGATATCATGTACGTTTTATTTCTGATTACAATACTAAAATACAAGCAGCAGGAACAGGTATGATTTTGTCTTACTTAGTGGCAAACTTGATGGCCAAATATATGCTAGATATAAGGACAGCTGCGATAAGCAGCTTCTTCAGATTGGCACGATTCACGCCTTTAACTGTACGAATCACTTCTAGATTGAGGCGGAACACATTGCGACTCTCTTCTATAAATTCAGCCTGCAACTCGTCATCAAACGCGCCATACTGACTGTTGAACACGCGCCTCAGCTTTGCCTTTAGTACATTAATCTGGAGAATAAATTAGTTATATTCGGTACAATACAATAAGATATCACCATACTGACTTTGCCTGGAAAATATGTGGCCTCACAGCCAGGTGGACAAATCGTGACCTGAGCAGGCATTGGACGCGCCTCCAAGTCCTCTTTATCGAGACCAACGGATGCCGCATTTGCAGTGGCTACCTCGGCATCTGCTTCAGCCTGTTTCTGTTGTTCCTCCTCGCCCCCCTTGGGAAAATCCACAGCTTGCGAGCAATCATGCGTTTCTTTTGCAGCATTTGGCCGCCCGACATCAGTGCCATGTACATTTGATACGCAAAGGCAAATAGAAGTAGCTCATTCTGGGCCGACACCTTCTCCAAGTGTGCTAGATATTTCTTGACTACAGGCCGAGGTTCATATGTGTCCTTCCAGTTGGGCCCGTAGAAATAGGCAAAGTCTCGTTCAAATGCCTCAGCTCTATGTAGCTCCTTTGGCAACAGCCGCTCCGGCAGACGGGTCTCAAAGAACTTGTATATTTCGTAGAAGGCTAAAAGTCCATCATACCAAACTTCATCGTCCGAAAGGGCTGTAAGAAACATTCATAACAATAGGCAGATCAAATCAATCCCAAAACATACCGAATGCAAATTTTGCATTAACTAGAACGTCGGTCAGATTATGCACATCTTTGGTGGCTTTTCGCAATTCCTTTGTGAACGTCATATCCACATATCCTTCATCGCCCACGTCTTCTTCGGCCTTGGTGCCTGCTGTTGATGTTTCCTCGACGGTTGACATTATTCGGATTTTGCAATATTTTCCTTTGTTTATTTTTTCGTTTATAATCGTTTCAGCGGAGAGCGTTGCCGATTCAGCTATTTTCCTACTAGATCTAAAAAATATCGTGCTGCGGGAATTATAGCTATTTTCTTAATATATTGGCGTTATTTTAGCTTTTTCAAAACATCTGCCAACTTCCGATTTTTTATGCCTTACGATGACAAACTTAAGAACCTTGTAGAATGATTTGCATTTGGACGGCAAAAACGAGAACGACAAGTACTATAACTGACGAAGTATTTCACAAGAATCGATTTTTTTACTATTACTGACGAAACATTTCACAATGTGTGGTTGATTAATATTTCATAGGCTCATGGGCCTCAATGCTGTTTAAGTTAATGTCAGATGATGACTGAAGGACAAATTACAGATGAATACATTTAAGTCTTCTTTAAAATGTTGTTCTCTTTAAATTGTTAAGTTCATTAATGAAATTGATTAAATTATTTTTTCAGTGTCAAAAGTCATTGCAAGCTAGTAATATCAAATAGGACATCAACATCGAGGAAAATGATTTAAGACATTACGGAATATTTTAAAAATGAGATGGTATATTTTTGTATATTGTTGAGGGTCTGACGGGATATTTTATCGATAATTCCGCGGTCACACTGCACACAGTATTATTTTGCATAAAAAAATTGTTGAAAAACTTAATATAAGTTAAAGTAAGTGTTGCTGGCCAAAATGCGTCGGAATCGATGGGAAATTCGCCCATCAGTGTGGAAATGTTCTTTCGTAGGGTCATAATTCAAGCTAATATGTGTGAAGACGAAAGCATTTTACAAACCTTTTACTTTCATTGTGCTCACAAAACACGCATGTATTAACACCAATTGCAGTTGAAAAAGCAACAAGAACACTATAAACAACACCGTTTTGGCTCTGGCTCGGCACACACTCTTCTTTTCACCCCAATTCTCCCTGCTATCTATTTTTCCTCCTTTCCACAACGCACTCCTACCCACCGAAAAGTTGCTTTGGTAGCACATACGTACCCTTAAAAGACTGAAGAAAATCAAAAAGCAATGTCGGATCTCTTTACCACTTTCGATAGCAACGGCGACGCCGAGCACAATACCTACAACACGTCCAAAAGCGGCCATCGCGACATCCCAATGGCCTCGCCATCTCAGCACAGTCCCATGACGAACAACAGCAACTCATCTTCACAAAACGGTGGCATAACCGCGGGCACAGCAACTGGTTCAGGTGGTGGTAGTGGGAAGTCATCCAATCATGCTGGCTCATCCGGTGCTGAAAACACACCAGTAAGCATGCTCGATATACCCAGCCAGTCAAGTTGATTCTGATTCTCGGGTTCCTTTCCAGATGCTGACAAAACCACGTCTTACCGAATTGGTTAGGGAAGTGGACACCACCACGCAATTGGACGAAGACGTAGAGGAACTATTGCTTCAAATAATAGATGATTTTGTCGAGGACACGGTAAAGTCAACGAGCGCATTTGCAAAGCACAGAAAGTCGAACAAAATTGAGGTGCGGGATGTTCAGTTGCATTTCGAGCGAAAGTACAACATGTGGATTCCCGGATTCGGTACAGATGAACTGCGACCGTATAAACGCGCCGCAGTTACAGAAGCGCATAAGCAGCGTTTGGCCCTAATTAGGAAAACAATTAAGAAGTACTAGACCAGTAGTTTCCCGGATTTCGTTGCATGCTCCAAACATGTCACCAATTTTTTTTAAGCTCACAATTAGTTTAAGAAAAAAGTTGATCCCGCTCTAACATATAATAACAAAATAAAAGCGCATTCATGATTTTAGTATGGATTGCGAGAATTTTTTTGGATACCCTCTCTACGTTACACACCTTGCAAGTGTGTTTGTTTAGTATCGATAGCTAGTGTATCGATATATCACTTCTCTTACCATTATTTCCGACTTGCACATTAAAAAACCTTTGAAAACATTAAACCCTATCAAATATATCAACAATGAAGCTGCCGGGTATTTGTCGGACCTGTGATGCGACAGATGCCGATAATCTCTTGAAGCTGGCCACTCCCACTAAGAAGTACCCAGACAAGTTGCTTTCGGACATCTTGAGCGAATTAATTAATTTTAATGTAAGTTGTGTGTGTGTATTAAAATCTATAAACTATATGTTTATTGTCATATTCAGCTGGATACATCTAACCAGAAGCTTCCACAACGGTTGTGCAGCAGTTGCACCAAGAAATTAATGGGTGCCTATTGCTATATGAGACAGGCGCTGGACGCCAATGAAATATTGCTGAGGCACCTGAAAAACGGTACTACCGACTGCTTGCAAGAAACGCCAATGGAACTTTGTGCGGAGCAACATGTGATGGTGAAACTAGAAACGGATGATGAGGATGGAAGGGGGACTGAAACAAACATAAATTGCTCTGGCTTACCTGAAATTGTCCCAGAAGAGATTCCAGACGAGAAAGATTTCGACCACAAGAAATCTGTTGATCCCCTAATAATGATCGATTCTGTTAAGCAGGAAACTGTCCAGGCCAGGATAGAAAAGCATGTGGGCGACGAAGCCGGGTCGGACTTTGAGGACGAAGAGTATGTAGGGCAGCCACCTATAATTTAAATATAACGGAATGTCTATGTTTTGCAGCTCGCTGGATAACTTACCGCTGGGACAGCGCATACTTAAATGGAAGACGGGAAGTGTCGATTCCTTGCGAAGCCTGAATCGGTCGGCATATCAGTGCAATGAATGCCCAAAGAGCTACAAAAGAGCCGATTATCTGAAACGACATCAGGTCAAAGCTCATAGGCCAGAATCCCGTTGGTTCTCCTGCTCACTCTGCATCCGAAAGTTCAATAGCAGTGAAGCCTTAGATATGCATCTCAAAGTACATCGAAACTCCAAGCGTTCGGCCAATATAAGTGAACTTAAAAAGGCAAAGTCTGTGGATCTAAATCTTTGCAAACCCCATGGCTACAAGCTCATCGAATGCATGATATGTCAGAGTCAGTATAACAAGATTGCGGACTTGCGACGCCATTTGGAGGAGCATCCGGCAATTGTTACCTTGGGTGTGCGTCCAAATATGGAGCCCAATGAGTTGGCCGAATTGTTCTATCCCGATGCCAAGGATGTTGGCGAGGATCAATTAATTGAGTTAATTCGCAAAGATTTGGCAGGCGGCATTTATCATCGCTTCTATTCCATAACTAATCAGTGTGGTTATGAAATGAACCTGGACAGCTCTGACACTGATAGTGAGCTGGACGTGGAGCCCGAGGACCAACTAAAGAAGCGCAAAACTAGACACGCGCACTACAGCTGCGAGCTGTGCCAACAGAGGTTTACCAGGAAGTATCAACTCTACGATCATCAGCGTCAGACGCACAGCTGGTCCGAAGCACCGCATGTTTGCGGCCGTTGCGATGGCCGCTTTGTCAGTTTGCAAATGCTGAGGCATCATAATGAGTCGCAGTGCAGAAACTCGCAAAAGCGATTCCTTTGCCATAAATGCCCACTGCGTTTCCGGTGGAAGCACAACCTGAGAGCACACTTCCGAGAGCACCGAATCACGGTAAGCCCCTCAAAATGATATTCCTTTCCTTTTCATGGTATGTGTTATGTGTGTATGTGCTACTTACAGAATCAAACCTTCGAATGTTCCGAATGCAAGCGAGTTTTTGATAAGAAAAAATCACTGACTGTTCATTTACTCAGCGCTCATGCTGAGGAATCTAAACTCATTCCGTGTCAGTGGTGTACGCGCAAGTTCTACCGTCATGATTACCTGGTGAAACATCTAAAGCGGCACGGACTCAAGGAGCAGGACATTCCATTGGCCGAGACTTTGATAGCTGCCACATCGAAGCGAAATGGAGCCAAGCGCATTAGCTGTAAAATTTGCAACCTGGACTTCGACCGCATCATAGACTTGCGAGCCCACATTCAACTGGAACTAAAGCTTTCTCTCAACTCTCAGCACCATAGCTATGACTCCCCACAAAACTACTCTATAACCAATGAATCCGGGTTCGAGATGCAGCTTGAAGATTCGGAAACAGAGGACGAAATACAGCCCGGGTCTCTCATCCGTCCTCCCTACGTCTGCGAGCTTTGCAGTGTCCAGTGCAAGCGCAAATTCGAAATGATTCAACATCAACGAACCATGCACCGCTTCGACAAAATGCCTCATGAGTGTGATAAGTGCGTTTTCAAGTGTGTGTCCAAGGTGAGTTTTTGGGCTGCATGGCCATTGTGTAATTTCATTTCTCAATGCTACTTATTCTAGAATATTATGGATCATCATCTTCTATGGCAATGCAGCAGCACAGAGAAGAAGTATTCATGCAGCAAGTGCACCTATAAATTCATGTGGCCTGAGAATCTGGATAAACATGTGCACCTCCAGCACAGCGAAGTCTCTGAAAGTACCAAAGCAGCCAAGCCGACAAGTGGTCTTGTCGACGAAGCCACAGAGGACGGAGTCCAGCTGCTGCAATGCCCGCATTGTGATCGCACCTATCAAATGAAGTCGCGATTGAACAACCACATTCGAGATGTTCATGTAAACGGCGATCGGAAGCGCAAGGATGCGATTAAGCGATTCCTTTGCTCGCTTTGTGGCAGAGAAACGCGGTCTGCTGCTGCTCTGGTTACCCACATGCGACGCCACACCGGCGAGAAGCCCTTTAAATGTGATCTATGTGAAATGGCTTTTCCGAGACACTCGGAGATGGCTTCGCATCGCAGGATGCATACGGGGGAGAAACCATTCCACTGCACAGTTTGTGGCAAGGATTTTGCCCGGTCCGACAAACTGACGCGCCACATGCTCACCCACAGCGGACTGAAGCCGCATAAGTGCACGTACTGCGAGAAGAGCTACCGGCAAGCCAAAGATCTTAAGCTCCACTTGCAGCAGCACACAGGCGAGTGTCCATTTATCTGTGGTACTTGTGGCGAACGTTTTATTCAAAACATAACTCTGGAGAAGCATCGTCTAATGCGCCGCCATTTCGATTGGAGCTTGCCATAATTTAATAATAAATGCATAATTTATTCTACAAATATCTTCAGAAAGTCCGGTACTCGAAGAGTAAGTAGGGTATATTGTATTTGTGGGGAATAACGGATGTATGTAACGCACAGAAGGAAACGTTTCCGACCCCATAAAGTATAAATATTTTTAATCAACATCAACAGCCAAGTCGATAGAGCCATATCTGTCAAGGTCCCGTCAGGGTCCCCATCGAGGACTGCAAGGATTTGCCTTTAAAGCTTTATTTTGTTAAGTATTTTTCCTAAAATCGCTATAACTAGGCTATCCTTCTATCCTACTGGCCGTGGCATGCCTAATTGTAATCTGGCGAAGATCCCGATCGTTTGGCATCAAGGACAATAAGGTTATTGCCCTCTTAATGCTTTTTAATAACAGTGATCGAGTTAGCCTAAAAATATGCCAAATTTTTTCAAATAAACCAACCCTAAAATATACTTTATAAAATGTATACTCTTCGTCACACATTCCAATAAGCCTACATTTACCAACTGAAACCAACCCCAAAAGATACTTCATACAATTTTGATTTGTATTTTAACAATGCACCTAAAAATAAATGTAATTTATAAATGGCTAACAATGATCATCACGAGTCTGCACGTCCTGAATGTGCTGTGTCTGCGGCTTGAAGGCAACGGCCAAATTTCTTAAAAGGACAATCTCTCCCGTGGTTCTGTATGTACGAATACTTTAATTTGAGAAATACTTCAAGGGTAACTTGTAAGTCAAACAAATAACTCTTGCAATTTTTGGAGCGGCCATCAGGCCAGAGCATATCGGAGAAAATAGTTGACAAATATTGTGGTGGGTGTGTGGGGTGGAGTGAGTTCTTTGGCAGTTCTTTTGTGCTGCATAGTGTAATAGGCTGCCATCGGCCTGCTCAGGAAATTAAATTGTACGTAGAGCCCGACCTGGATGACGATATTTTATAACGTTTAACATTGAGAATGGGCGGAACTTTGGGAGTGCAGACAAAATATAATTCCTGCTTAACAAATGCCAGCTTTCGGGTAGCAACCAGCATCGCCAGCGCCGTTTCCACAGGGTCCTGCAAAAGTTTAGTTTTAGCCAGATAACAGAGCCTCAGCCACTACTCACCGCCACAACGCGAAAAGGCGCCCGGGGGCCCATAGCTAAGCTTCTGGATGGTGCACTTCTCAATGGGTCCGCTCGGACGACAGTAGGAGGTGTAACGAGCCCAGGGCAAGGGCTCCTTGGGCGGAATGCAATTCGGCAAATAGCTCAGCTTGTATGTAGTACAGTTCTCCACTGGTCCCTCGTTGCGGCAGAATCCGGCTCTGGGTACGACGGCCTCGGGCCTAGGGAAGCAAGTTACATCCACCGGCATGTACGACAGCTTATTGACCGTGCAGCGTTCCATGGCCCCGCTGGGACGACAGAAGGCCGTGGTCGGCATAATGGGAGCTCGGCGCACGTGCGGCTTGGGCACAAAATCGTGCTTCTGGGTGGTCATTGCGTACATGGGGCCATCGAAGCGCAGTCCATTTTCCATGGGGCGAATGGGGGGAGTGCGTTCTGTACAATTTGGCTGATAGGAGAGCTAAGAGTGGCAGAATGGCAGAGTGGGCTAGTGTTACTATTAGAGTTGGAGACTAAACTTTACTCACCTTTTGTATGGTGCACCTCTCCAGTGGTCCGGTGGGTCGGCAGAAGGTGTCTCTGGGCAGGATCGGCATCGGCTTGCTGCGCGAGGCATCGACTGGCATGTAACTCAGCTTGTAGACGGTATTCCCGGCAGCGGGATCGTTGCCAATGAAGCGTAAATTGGATACCGGCATCACCGGTGCAGTGCGTCCCGAATTACAGTTCGGCATATAGCTCAGATTGTAGGTTGTGCAGATGTTCTGGTATCGCGGCGGCACGCAGCGTATCTTGTCGGCCCAGGGAGTGGGCTCCTTGGCTGGCAGGCAGACCGGCATGTACGACAGCTTCTGTATGGTGCAGCGCTCCAGCGGTCCGCTCGGCTTGCAGTAGTGCGATCCCTGCGGCATGGCCTTGGGCGGAGGGTTTTGGCAAACATCAATTGGCATGTAGCTCAGCTTCTGAATCGTGCAGCGCTCCATGGGCGCGGACGAGGTGCAGATGGCCCCTGCCGGCTTAATGGGAGCTCGCTTTACCAGCCCCTTGGGCACATAGTCGTGCTTCTGCGAGGTCATAGCGTAGATGGGTCCCTCGAAGCGTAGTCCGCTCTCCATGGGTTTGATGGGCCTGGTGCGCTGGGCCGGGCAGGGCGGCATGAAGGACAGCTTCTGCACCGTGCACTTCTCGAGTGGAGCGGTGCTGGCCCGGATCTGGGAGCACGGCATGATTGGGCGGGCTCGCAAGTTGTCCCCACAGTTGCCGTAGTACGAACGGCGGTAGATGGTATCCGTGTCCAGAGGCGCTGTGGAGCGCATGAAGTTGGAAACCGGCAGGATGGGTCTGACGCGAGCCGGCTGCTGGTAGCAGCATCCGTTGTAGTCCCCACAGTCGCATGGCGGACACGTCGCATTGGGCGGGCAGGGAGTGAAGTCAGTGGGCGCCTGGCAAGGGTCGCACACGTTGGGGCAATGTGTGGTGCAGTCGCCCGACATTATACTCTGCTAAGACCGATGCAGTAGATGTGATGGATGATAGTCCAAAGGGGGCAGAGCAATCTCGTAACTTACGGCGTGTATTAATGTTGAACTCGAAAACGTGGCACTTGTCAAGGGAAATAATTTTGCTTGCTCGAGCGGAAAACGAACAACTTAAAAATAATTTTGTTCAGATATTCACGACGAATGTGTTCCACAAAAACTGAGGGTACATGTAGTAATGAGAAAAGGGGCACTGGTCGGGGACGTCTGACGTCTGGGGACCAGGCAACGTAGTTATTGAAATCAAAAATATTCTTGTCTAGGTTTGTGTGTACATAGTTTATTTGGGGAGATATCCTCATTTACCATAAGCGGGGCGGGGCGGGGCTGGGAGAGGCCTTTGCCTTCCATTCTCTAGGATATACGACAAGGACAGATATAAGCAAAGACAGAATCTCCTCCGTTGCATCCAACTCAATTTAAATAATTAAAAAGTAATATAATTATTTTATTTACAATTGTTTTTGTTTCTCTTTATGTGCTCTAAATGGGGTATACAAAGGGTGGTATGGGGGCTGGGCAAATACTTTAAATCCAAAGATCAGCAAACAATCAACTAATACATAAACATCGAATCATCCATATAACAAACAATTCTATTCGCTGGAAAAGCACAAAATCAATCATTCGATCCAGTGTATAAGCTGGAAATCTTTCGATTGGTGGTACCATTAAAACATTTTCTGGGGGTGGGGTGTAGCTTAAACATAGATCTTTCTCTCCTATCATATAATGTGTTTTGGATATAGCAAAAATACAATTTGATTATATTCATTTGTTTATATGGTTCAGTTCGCTTCACTCCTATCGACATATTTATTGTGTATACATTATAAAACTAGGTTTCGGGATCATCTCCTTTAGAGCGTGGGCAGATTGGCTGGCACTTGCTCCAGGAAATTGGTCGGAAACTGCCCCTGCCGTCCACCCGCCTCTCCAAACAGCCACTCTTCGTTTATCCTATAAAGCACTGTAACCAGTTCGTTCTCCTATTGAGAAAGCGATCGAGAGATTAAGAACAGACATTTAAAAATAACAGCTGTGGAATATTCACCTGCAAGGGCAGATCTCCTTCGACCTCGCCGGGGAAATTATACAAACAGAGCGCAGTGTGCTCATGTTGCGTTTGCTGCTGTTGTTGCTTATGTTGCTGTGGTTGTGAATATGATTGTGACTGACCCGCACCCAAAGGCACTTTGATGTCCACATAAGTGGCAGGGAAAATACCCTCGCAGCCGGAGCGCGTACGTCCTCGAATCCATTCAGGCGTGGGCTGCTCCAGCAGATAGATTTTCTCGTTCTCCTGCAAGAGTCGTTCGGTCAGATGGCATAAATATGGGATGCGGCGTCCTTAAACACTTACCCTAAAGCTAAGATCACCCTCTTCGACACCGTCAAAGTCGTATAGGGCTATGGCGTAAGGATCAAGCTCCTCCTCGATGTAGCCTGAGCTGCCGTTGCTCAAGGCCATGGCATCCACTCTGCCCGCAATCACATCCAGCATCGAGATTCCCGAGGCTCCACTGCCAACAGATGGGGGAAGTGGTGGCGGGGCACCCTTCGGCATGGGAGGAGAAGGTGGGTTAAAGGCACCTACGTAGCCGGGTGGCATTCCACCGACGAACGGCGGAGCCCTAGGCGCTTTCGGCTTCTGCGAAATCTTCGGCTTGATGATGGTGGGCATGGCCAGCGACTGTATGGGGGGCAGAAGGCTCTTGCCATTGCACAATGGATTGTCTGACGTGCGTATCTGATGGTATGTCTGATACGTCTGTCGCACCGCTGCCGAGCCGAAACTGTCGACCGCGCTATGGCCGGCACTGTCTACAGCCTCCCAGGGATCTAGCGGACTCTGGGTAGCTGGTCGGGAGCGGTGGAAGTCGTCCTCGAACCCACTTTCCGGCTGCGAAACGCTGCCGTTGTTGGGTGAACTGAAGTTGCTGTCCGAGCTGAAGCTATCGACACTCACGCAGTCGCTGTTCGACTTCTGCGTGAAGGTGGGCGACGAAGGCGGCGAGTCAAAGCTGATGAGCTGTCCCTCAACCGCAGTCCCATTGCTCGTTGTGTGAGAGTAGTGGGAGCTGCTGCTGCTGCCAGTTGTGGTAGTTGTAGTGGTGGCCGTATTCCAGGCAGCGTTCCAATCCGTGTTGCTGAACGACCCACTGGCCGACGATGCGACTGCAGCTGCAGCTGCTGCTGCTGTGGGTGCCGCCGTCCCGGCATGGCCGCTGCTCAGGCCGTAGACTCGACTCTGCACTGCGGCCTTTGAAGCAGCAGACGTTGTTGTAGACGGAGTCTTTTTGCGGTGGAAGATGTTGGAGATGAGGTTTCCGCCGCCACCGGCCGACGTCGCTGATGTGCCAGTGGCGGCAGCCTTATGGCCATTCATCTGAACTTGCACCTTCGGCGGAGGCGGTCGCGGCGGTGGCATCTTCCTTAAGTTGCCATTTCCATTAGCAGCAGCTCCTCCCCCTCCCCCTCCAAAGGGATCGTCGTCCCAGTTGGTGGTCGGCGTATACCGCGCCTGGGGGAACTTTCGTGTGATGCTGGAGCCCGTCTGCTCCTCAAAAAGATTGTTGTTGGATCTTTTGTGCTGCGCATTCAGCGACTGTTGCTGCAGCGGCCGCTTGGGAGGCGGAGGAAGCTTAATGGTGAACTTCTGCAAACTTCCACCAGACGATTGCTGCTGCTGCAAGTGCTGCTGCTGGAGCTGTAGACGCAGCTGATCCAGGCTGGCATTCGCTCCATCCGCAGCGCTCTGTGCACGCGCTCCGGGCGGGGCTGGCGCTGGTCTCGATGGAATCGTCATTTCACCTGCAAAAGAGAAGAACCATTAAACGTCTCATTAAACATGCAACATGTCCCCCAAACATTACGGAGAGGATAAGCTATGGGGATGCGGTACTGGAAGAGTCGTAAGGAATTGTGTTCTCACATCTTTACCTGGGCGAGCCCCAAGTCTGAGGTGCTAAATTCTACTCAACAATTTTCTCAAATAAATCCGAAAAAAGTTTAACATTTTTTATGTTTCCTTAGTTTTTGGGGAATCAAAAGGAAACCTGTAACTGTAGCCAGGGAAAGCCGATTTAGCCGATTGGAATATATGTATGTATATCTGATTCGGGGCCACCCCTTTCGCAGGCTATTCCAGGCCATGCAGCTGTTGTAGATTGGTATGTACACGAGAACTGTATACAAAATAAGATAAGAATTTCGGCTAGGAGCCCATTTGATAAGAAGCGAATTATGGCCAAGACCTATAGATAAAATAGCTTCAGGCATACAGATAACCACAAGTGTCATTAGAGCTGGAGAATCGAGTGATTCATTTGATTTCTATGAGCAGAAATCAGTTTTAATCAGAAATATCATAAAAGAGGGCTCCCTATTTCGCCTATCAGCTATAATACACCGAGCACTCGACAAACTAGAGATCGCAAAACTAATACAATTATAATAACAGGCATCCATCGACAGGCCCCAAAGAAATGCTCATTTAAAATAAATAAAACATGCCATGCCTCTTCGTATTTTGGGTTTCTCTCAGCAGAATTTATGTCACTTCATCTCATTAAGATGGAGAGCTACACAAATGCTTTTTCTGAAGCAAGCTATTCTGATATAAACAAGGGCATCTGTGACATCAGAGTAGAGTGGAAACAAATGCCCAAATGAATGCCGGAATCACACAAAGTAGTAGAATAAGTAGGTGGATTGTGGGAGCCAAACTGTATATGTTGCAGTAGTTGCCTCATGCTTCATGCCCCACTTGCGACAGACTTCTCCCGGAGCGGCGCTTTCGTGCCCGGCACATGACGGAACGAACCCAGACTGTACAGCATCTCTGAGAGTGCGCACAATAACTGGGGGAAGCATCGGGGCACAATGGGGCATTGATAAGAAGAGCCGCCCGCTGGAGGGAAAAACCATTTAATAATATTCTTATCAAAATTTCGTACGACGAAAAAAAAATATTGGGCCTCTGTTAGATACAATATTGAAGTGTTTCATTCATTAGAAATACGTTTAGCAGACAATTGCCATTTAGAGGAATGGTTGATGGATGATGATGCCTGTGATTGACATTCCCCGTGCGTCATTTCGAGAGTATTCCCCCGTGCACTCGTATCTCAGGGAGGGAGTCAGTTCCTGGATCTGGCACCATAAACAATTTTACGCAATTCGGTATCCGCCTCTTGGTATGGAATGCGATCGGGGGGTGTATTGCAAGTTGGCCAATAAATATTTTTTAATAGCAGTGTTTGGAAAAATTTATATTATTACTATATTGTATGTTTGTTTACATACATAAAACGAGAAGGAGATACCCGGGACTCAGTACTACATCTGTACCTTAGCGGTTATTTGTCAAATTTTAAATTTTTTCCTCATCTGTCATCTACATCTACAACACTTCTCACACCAACACGCTCCTCTAGCTCGCCGCCCTACCCTAAACCCACACACTGCAAACTCACGGCAGAGGCAGCGCCCGCACACAAAAAAAAACGAGAAGGGACGTGTGAGACGCTTCTTACGCGTCACAACTTTTATACCCGGCACTCAGTACTACATCTGCACCATAGCGGTGTTTTGTCAAATTTTAAATATTTTCTTCATCTGTCATGTACATCTACAACACTTCTCACACCAACACGCTCCGTTAGCTCGCCGCCCTTCCCTAGACCCACACACTGCAGACTCGCGGCAGAGGCAGAGGCAGCGCCCGCACACACAAAAAAAACAAATATAAGCTGCGGGACAGGGTGGGTTTAGCCACTGGAAATTAATTTCTTCATTCTGGCTATAATAATGGCTCAATTTGGTGAACTGATAGATATGGCCATTCCCTACGGAATGGCGTTTTTAGTTTTCTAGTTTTAGTTTTAGGTTTTTTTATCTTCAAAATTGTAGATTTGGGAGGTTTTCGCCCTTTTGCAGGGGCGGAAGAGGGCGTGGCTCATTTTTTAAATACACTTGTAACAGTGTGAGAATACAGAATACAGAAGTCTGGATGCAAAATTTGGTGGCTCTAGCTTTTATGGTCTCTGAGATCCAGGAGCTCAACAAGACGGACGGACAGACGGACGGACAGACAGACATGTCTCAATCGACTCGGCTATTGATGCTGATCAAGAATATATATACTTTATGGGGTCGAAAACGCTTCCTTCTGTGTGTTACAAACAACCGTTATGCGCACAAATACAATATACCCTATTTACTCTTCGAGTACCGGCTATAAAAAATATGTACATATATCTGCATGTTGAACGCCTTCAAACGGGGAAATTCAAATTGAGTCTCCAATAAACACAACAATCATCAATGGTTCAATACAATACCATCAATGGTTCCTTTAAACATTTTTGGTTTTACTTATAAGAACGAAGATAAACTGGTTTGTTTCTTAAGGGTAAAAACTTTCCAACTTTCATCTGAATTCATAAACAATAACGATGAGGAGCACACCCAACAAATAATCGTTGCATGCCAAATTCATGTAAATCGCTCGTTTCTTCCATCAAAGACCTTAAAATCAACAATCAGCAAGAACAGCGAGAGAAAGAAAACGAAAATAGGACCGGATTTGTGTTAGACAGTGTTTCACTGAATGAATGACTGACTGATGCTGACGCTAATCACCGACACGTTGCCACCATTCAGTCCAAAAAGAGAGCGGGGAAAACAAATAGTTACAGTTGCAATCTAATTAAAATCACCTTCAGAAGGTGGTGATGATAGGTGGGAGGGTGGCATGGCGGTACTGCCTGCCCCTCACTCATACACCCATCAGAAAGAGGCACGTACTCGTACAGTGAAATTGTTGGGATTCTGAATGCCAATTTAATCATTTGCTGGCCCTCTCCCCCGTCTTAGCCGCCTCTTGCACATGTGTATGTCTGCTGTGAAGAACAATATAATCCTAAACAGACGCACAAATACAGTGCAAACTCTTTCGACGGACATTCATGTAACACTGTGTAACGTGTGTGCCCTTTCAAGGCAAATTTCACTGTGGAAACCTATTGCAGACTAGCACTGATGCCCCCTGGCATATGGCGTCAGTAAAATTGATCTGTAATCGCTTTTAATCGCCGATGTTTGGTCAGAAGTAATCCTAAATAGAGATAGAACTGGAATATAATGTACACATGCACCGCTAAAGCGAGATTCTCTACAATCCCAATTCGAATCACTATGAGCTGTAATCATTTTCCGCATCTTTTGACACTCGTTTTAATACAGAAAGGAGATTCCATTGAGCTCACGATGAGATAAGACCTTCCCTTCTCTCTCCTCTGTTTTGTCTTTGTTCTATCAGTTTCCTCCCCTCGTAGTTCTACAGCTTATTGATTTTGTCTGCTTCAGTATAAGAGTTGACGCTTGAAGCTTGAAATCAAAACTTGAAATAAGCTGGTGGGACCTCCGATACTTGGGTGCTTGTAATGAAGCCCATTATGGCTCAGTGGTTGTATTTCGATGGTTCAAGCTCAAGTGATAAAGAGGAGGTTTCAGTCAATGCCAAAAACCGGGTTTCCCATTATCACAGAGGGGAGGGATAACATTAAGCTGTGAAAATGCCCTTTGCTAAATGTTTTGGTTATTTCGCCAAAAAAATAGACGCAGCCAACTGATTTCCATTGAAAGTATAAAACATGTAGATGATTTATTAATTTGACAATGTGTGTGTGCGTGAATGGGATGTCGTTTTATAAATTTTAGTCCTTTAGATTAGAACACTTGCAAGTAGTCACCTTTTACGCTGGCTGTGGTCGGACTCTGACCTAACATCAATTCGAAGCTACCATAAAATCAAGTTGACCGCACGTTCGGATAAGACTCTCACGAACAATGGGGGGAGAAGGCAGATGGTGAAAGATGGAAGAGCAGAACATAAGAAAGTGACAAAGTGTAAGTGTGTGTGTGGGGTGGAGCTGCTGGCTGATACGATCTTCCTCTCCCCAACGATGAAATTGAGTGCAAAGTGAGAGCGTCTCGTCAGCGGACAGACGGTATCAATAATCGAATGAAACCAAATAAAAAGAAAAGAAAAGAAAAGAAGGAGCATTTTAAATAGCGATTTACATGCTCCATTTTAATGAATTTGTTTTGTACGCTGTACGCGCGGCTTTCTGCTGTTCTCCCCCAATCTCCGAGCATTTCCGTTTGCAGTTTGACATTTTATAGACTGTCACCGTCTGAGATGACCTTGAAAGCTTTTTTTTTTAGATACATTATATAGGATACCCGCTACCAAAGCTTATTTGTAGGTACATTTGTACATACAGCTGTAAAAAAAAGAATAGCACCACCAAGTTGCCCAACTCACATTTTTAACTTTCCCCTACAAATCTGGGGAATAACTAAAAAAACTTTTTTATAAGGTTTTTAAGTTATTTAAGAAACTTAATTGAAACTGGTAAAATTAGGCGAAAAAAAAAAATAGCACCAATTTTGAAAAAATGGATTTAAAATTTAAAAATTGACCAACAAGTAACGAATTTCTTAGTTAACACTTTTGAACTATTAATTCTAAATCTGTATTTATCATTAAGTATTTAGTTCAGTGTCCTCTTTTGGCAATAACAGCTGCTCAACGTCTTGGCGTGGAATCCACTAAGTCCAGGCATCGCTTTTGGGGAGCTTTGGAGCAGTACTCTTAAATTTGTTCTCAAAGTGATCCGACAGTAGTTGGCTTAAAATGCCTTAAACCATGAAGAAAAGTGTGAAACACGTGGATCAAAACGATCTATAACCGCTTCTAGGGTCAATAGAATGATTCGTGAGAGCAAGAGGATTCCCTTCAAGCCTGCTATCAAGTTTAAAAAAATAGCCTAACATAAAAGCGACGGGCTAGAAAGTTCTGAGCACATGATGTTTTCAAGGGAGCATGCCAATTGGACATCCCTATAATGGAGGAAAATTGTAATGTCAGATGAGTAAAAATGAGTTTTGAGGAGTTTTACTTACTGAAAAGGGATCTTGATCATACTTAAGACGTCCAAGGAACACCAGTATACCACAAAAACCATTTAACATAAAATGTGTAGTGTAATGGTGTGGGCCTGTTTCTCCTACTATGGAGTAGGGCCAATACATTGACTATAAACCATCATGGATCAGCACGTGTCCTTAAATATCATGGAGATAGTAATGCTACGCTTTGCAGAATACGAAATTCCACTCGTATGGGCCTTTTAAACGGAAAATAACCCCAGCACGAAAGCAAAGGAATGGTTCGGGGCCAACACTGAACGTGTTAAAGTGTCCTGCACAGTTGCCTGACATAAAACCCATCGAACCCATCGATTTTTAATCATTTTATTGAAACTTCCTACCAATTGATCAAAATCTCTGTAAGTTTTTACGTCAAATATCAATTTTTTGCTTAGGTCTCGCTTCCTCGCATTTCCGAGCTGTCCACGTTCTATTGTAATAATTATTATTAGCTTTGACGATAGAAACAATGAAATATTAGCCAAAACTAATAAATACGTAGTTTATACAAAGTAAATTCTTGGAAATTACGAACATTGACTTTAAGCAGGGCTTATGGTGATATTATTTTGTTCGTCATATTTGTGGTATTTTTTCTTAAAGTTAAAGAAATATATATGAAGACAGAAATTTGAAGAAAGGTAACACTTTTTTATTAACAAGGATACTCAACTATATGGAAAAATTAAAAATTTCAAAAAATTGCAACATTAATGGTTTTATTTTTGGTCAAGAACAAAATGTGCTGTAGTGGTGCTATTATTTTTTTCGCAACTGTACATAAATAGATATTTTTAATTACATATCGATTTTTGCGGCGTATGCCAACAACAGAAAACACTTTAGTGGGTTCCAATCGCACTTGAAGTCGCTATGATCCGCCCCAGACCACAATGAGGCACAATGAAACAAGAAAGGACGTGTGAGACGCTTCTTGCGCGTCGCAACTTTTATACCCGGCACTCAGTACTACATCTGTACCTTAGCGGTTATTTGTTAAATTTTAAATTTTTTCCTCATCTGTCATCTACATCAACAACACTACTCACACCAACACTCTCCTTTAGCTCGCCGCCCCTTTCCTAGACCCACACACTGCAGACTCGCGGCAGAGGCAGCGCCCGCACACACAAAAAAAACAAATATATTCTGCGGCAGAGGGACGGCAGAGGCAGAGGCCGAGTGAAGCGGAAGAAGAGTGTGAATGAGAGAATGTGAAAAGAACAAAAAAAGCTGCGGGACAGGGTGGGTTTAGCCACTGCAAATTAATTTCTTCATTCTGGCTATAATAATGATCCAATCGGATCCCAATTTGGTGATCTGATAGAAACGTTCATTCCCGACGGAATGGCTTTTATGTTTTGGTTTTTAGTTTTCTTTTATCTTCAAAACTGTAGGTTTGGGAGGTTTTCGCCCTTTTGCGGAGGCGGAAGGGGGCGGGGCTAATTTTTGAAATACACTGGTTTCAGTGTGAGCATACAGCAGTCCGGAGCCAAAATTTGGTGTCTCTAGCTCTTATAGTCTCTGAGAACTAGCCGACAAACAAGACGGACAGACGGACAGACAGACATGGCTCTATCGTTCGGCTATTGATGCTGATCAAGAATATATATATACTTTATGGGGTCGGAAACGCTTCCTTCTGTGCGTTACATACAACCGTTATTCACACAAATACAATATACCCTATTTACTCTCCGAGTACCGGGTATAAATACAAAGGCACGGTACACAATGCGTTCCATTGACCGCCCTTGATCAAAGGTAACCTACACGATAGAGGAGCGGCTCTTCGACGCCCTCATCTGTCGCAAAAATAGCAAACGGGAGCGGGTAACCACATCAGGAGGCCTCCCGAGTCTCAGCGCCACATCAATAAGAAAGGGAGAGCGAAGACGACAGACAACAGACAACGGACGGACGATGGCACTGCGTATCGCCGATGAAGCCAATTGAATTTATTGCCACGAAATAAAAAGTTAAATGAACCTCAGTATAAAAAAACACGCTTCAATTTCAGCCCATCGGTTCTAGTATGCTTTTTTGACCTGCCGCCGAATATAAAACATGCATAAATATGTACATATGTATGTGATATGTACTCTGCCCATAAAGAGAAAATGAGTAATGAGTGGGAGCTCGCGATGCGTTTGTAGAAATACAAAATATTACAAAGAGAACAAAAATTCAATTAACGTCAAGCCTTTGACTCGAGCGGATCATGGGAAACAGAGAAGATGAAAAGAGAAAGAAATAAAGCGCTTGATATGGAGATGGAAACAGAGCCATGCTGTGTGTGTGTGGCTTTGAGGTTGGGGTTACATTGAGTTAAGGATCTATTAATTGCTCGAAATGAATGGAGAGAGGGTTCTTCAATCAATTTCGATATCAGTAAGTGAACTCTCCTAATGCTACCCATGAACCTTAAAGTAAACAGACACAGCTTGAATCTGGCGTCACAGCAATTTAAACAAATCTATACAAATATTTGATCATCACATTCAGCATTTAACAAAAACAAGTCAGAAAACGTCGCCGAAACAGACCATATGTACTTATGTATGTATGTACATATGTATTTATGTACATCCATATGTTTAAACAATACACAGGCAAAAATGTATATGGGTTTTGTGAACGGAATAGCTTTATAACGAGTCGAAATACTGGTCTCAATTTAAATTTTAGTAGGCACTTTGCCCCAGGAGATGAGTTCTTCTAACAGACACAGGGAAATGAGTCTGTAGAGTATCTACAGCTTCGGTTCGAAGTTGGCTCTTCCCATAGAGGAAAAGCCCCGCTTAGAACTAAGTAGAGGGAATGAAGGAGGAAGAGAAAAACGCTGGAGAGGTAAAATAAAAATAGCAAAATAAGCCGCATCATTCGGCATTGTCAGCACGTTTCTCGGTGCGTCGTGCTTATGGGTTATTCTCCGTTTTTTTCCAGCTCATGCAATTCATTCCATAACTTATTGGCATGCATTCGTAAATATGTACATTGTATGTGTATGCATTTGTCATGCATAGGTACATGTATACAATGTATATATGTACATACGTACTTATTTCTTACAGTAGCTATTTTCTAAGCAAACAGCGATCTAAAATTGCACGTTCGACTACCCAAAACAATTGCATGCCGAGCTGCTGCATCAGAGAGTGGGAGCTTGTTATTCTCTCTTGCTCTCTGTATGGTGCGAGGCTCGCCATGTGGAGGGGACAATTTCACGAATTTGGGTCAAAGTTAAATACAATCAGAAATGAAAGCTTACGCACTTGAGTGTGTATAAGTGTACTTGAAAGCATTTCAAATCCTTCACAGAACAATGCTCTTTTGAAAATATATTGAACGGTCATTTGTTCTGAGCAGAAAGTACAAATTTCAATGACATGGATGCATTTTTTTACTTATGTATGTACATATGTATGTATTTATGTATGTATGTAGCTCGATTCGCTAAAGCGAAGAAGCTGGAGAGTCACCATGCCCATTCCTCTCTCCCTGCGGACAGTTCCACTTCTCATACTTTTTGATAAAGGCTTCCCATACCGTTTCCTGTTTTGAACAAGCCGTCGGTTCGGAGAACAATTTCAGATATTGTACCACATATGAATGTAATACATATGCATGCATTTATATATGTATATACATACATATGTATATACTCTTTAAAGAACTTAATCTCCGATGCATAGGCGAGGGGGATGGACGCCATATGCCGATCGGATGGAGTCACTGGCATGGAAAATGTGGCAAAACAGTAAAAGCAACACACCTGCTGCGCCTGAAAGGGACAACAAGAAAATTAAATTCCTATAACTTTGGCTCTGTCTCTAAACGAAGTGTGTGGAAACGAGTGAAAGGGTGGGTTTTGTATGGAAGAGCTTCAGGCAAACAAGTGCACGGCAATGATGGAGCGATTACATATGCATGCACTCATACTCATATATGTATGTATGTAGATATGCATACATGCATACATATATATTTATCTTATCCATAAATGTCGCTGAATTCCTTATCGCTGAGGCGTGAACAAACAAACAGTCGGGAACTAGCGTAGCATATCGGGTTTATGCAACAACTGAAAGTCTCTTCTCGTATTACCAACCCCACGAACAACACACAGCTCAGGCAACCAGGCAAACATTTATTTAATTAACAAATACGACCTTGAATGGAATTTTAGTTAAGCAAATATCCTGAATACACTCCACCGATTCAATAAATATGCATTAAATGGGGTGCGTGCGAGATTGGCCAAGTTAAGAGGGTGCAGATTGCAACAATCTTCAATGGGTCGAGCCAAGCTAAAATGCTAATGGGGAGCGAGTAACTAACCTTTTCAAGATACGCACAGATGACTTTGATGTGACTCTCTTTGGTTGATGCGTTCCAAATGATGTGCTGCAGAGCCGCTAAAGGACCGTCAATCTTCCAGTCCAGTTTTGGCTCAGGCAAAAAATGACTAATGCCTCTGCTCACGCATACGACACACACAAACAGTAACACTCACACAGTACACCGTGTCCAAGCTTAGTTGAACGGCATCAACTTTGCACCTCTGTCTTTCCTTCTCACTCTCACTTTACGGCTTTCAAGGTAGTTAACGAGAGGTGGTTTGTGTGTGTGTGTGTGTGTGTGTGTGTGTGTGTGTGTGTGAGTATGACAACCACAAAGTATCCAAATACAAGCAGCTGCAAATGCAGGAGCAGGCCAAAAACCGTTGTAGGAAGTGCCGCCTGCGACGCAGCTGCGCCTGTAACAATTGTCGTCTGCCTTTTTATCTGCCTTTTTCACTTTCCAAACGGACTGCGCGGATTGCAAAATATGTAAATTTTGCTTAATACTTTTGTTTAATTACCCACACGCACACACACCTGGGCACGCATTCCCATATCAGAGAGGCCAACAAAAACCGAAATTTTTGTAGCGACTTGTTCTCTGGTCCCGACACGTTTATGGAGCGACTAGTAACAAATTAATAAAATCTAGTTAGCGCTACTTGCTTGGCTTGCCTTACTTTTATTTTATTTCAAATGGACGTTTGTTTCAACGAAATTTATTAAACATTTATTTGCGACGCGACGTTCTTGACTTTTTAATATCGATAGTGTTGCTTGTATATTGGTATCGAAATGTAAGATATATCGATCAATCAAAAGGGAGATCACACAATAAAAATATCCTAAAAAAAATATGTCCTGTAGTCTATTGTTTTTCCCATGGTGTCCAACAATGTTAATATAAAAGCTGCCATTCAACATTTTCTACTTTTGAATCTTGAAAACAGCGTGCCCTATGTGGATGTATCTCAATTGTGTGCACACTATGTTGGTATTTTCCAAATCAAATCATTGCGAAACGCGAAAACGAGCAGCTCACCATATTCGGCAGTCAGTGTATGTATCGATATTTTTTTTTAAAAAATGTAAAATTATGATTTTCTAATGGAAAGCGCACGCAATTCAATTTAAAAAATTCACTTTTTAAAAAATTTATTTCGAATTTATCCACTTACAACACCTGTTGCTTTCTTTCTTCAGGGTCGCAATCCCAAAAAAAAAGAGATATGAACGCCTTCGTTGCACTGTTACAGACTGTCCCGAGAGTGGGCAGCAAGACTGCAGTTCTATGTTCAAGTTTCCCACTAAGCCGGAGGTAAGGCTGAAGTGGATAGAGAATCTGGGCCTGCCAAAGGACACTACACTGTCGAATCGCCGGGTGTGCCGGCGACACTTTGAACAACATTGTTTCGGTAATGCCAAACTGTTTGCCTGGGCTGTGCCAACTCTCTTTGTGGGTAAGCCGCTCTTAGTTACCACCACTACTAAAGGATATATTCTGATAAACGTTAGATTTTCAGGCAAGACTGCGGGACTGCATCATGGCTATGCAAAGAAGAAAATGTTGGTGAGAAAGTGCTGCATCAAGGATTGCATGACAAGATCGCCACCCGGCAGATTGCACTGTTTTCCCACAGAGACACAGCTACGGAAAGAGTGGATGAGGCTGTGCAGTCTTAAAGAAGGAATAAAGTGGCCCTTCATATGCGGCCGACACTTTCGTCCGAGTTTTCTACCCAAAAAGAACAGCAAATTGCCAAAGCAAGCCTTGCCCGAACTGAATCTTGGAAGTGAAAGCAGAGATCCTTTGGAATGCGACTCACAGAGGAGCGAGACTGAAGGTCAGGGAATCGACGAGGGTGATTCCAAAGGGACTGATGGAAGAGAGGCCGAATCCTGTCCAAATTGCCAGACAAGCAAACGGATCAGCACCGACTTGCAGCAGCAACTCGCTGCTGCTCGGCTTAGAATCGAAGAACTTGAGCAGCGGCTTCAATATCACGCGTGCAAGGAAGAGGATGAAGAGTACATTTTTATGCTGATGAAATAAATAGAGGAGAGTTCTGTGGAGATTAACATTATTTTATTCTAATTCATCATCAGCTCCAGCTGCATCAGACGTTTGTTGGTTTCATAGGGCATGCGGAAAGGCATGCTAGCGGCGAGATTGGAAAGGGCTTTGGCTCGCACTAGCAGTTTATGGAACTGCAGCTGATCCGACGTACACATTCGCGTCTTCAACCGGTTGTACTGGGTGAGTGTGATGTCCATGGCAGCCACCATCACGTCGGGAATTACCTTTATGACCTCCCCGCTGAGTTTCTTGATGTTGGTCAAACAACCATCCACATCATCAGTGGTATTCGGCATCAGCTTCGTGTGCTGCAGCTGCTCTACAGCTTGGGCTAGCTTGCCCTCATGATGGAGGTCGAAAAAGACGAGCAGAAGCTGCAGCAGTTCAAAGCTGCCCCTTATTTTGGGCTCCACTTCTATACGGAGTGCTGCCAGAAGTCTGCTAAATCGATTAGCTTCGTCCCTAAGACGTGCCCGCTGTGATCCCTCCTGCGGCGAGAACTGCACAACCTGTGCCAGCAATATGTTAAAGTGCTTCAGCGACAGGTTGTAGTTGCCAGCCAACTCGTAAAGTCGCACAGCCATTTCAAAGCTGCCTCGCGCAACCAGCTCTTCTGCGACCAGCGAGGCCATGGTGTTCGTGTCAAACTCCGGGCAATCAAACTGGCGAAACACTCCGCTGAAAGACAAGTTAGAGATGGCGAGTTGATCGTGGGGGGACACGGAATACAGTCGAACTCACCCTGGAACCGCTTTGTCCATATCAGTCATACGCTGTCCGAATATCAAGTCGAAAATGCTGGTATCCAGCACGCCGCTGCATACCACCAGATCGCAGACGCATGTCAGGAACATATTTCGTCCCTTTGGATCCCGCAAGTTACGCAGCGCGAAGTAGTAGTTAAGGACCTCTGTCGTATCCGTGCGCTCGAAATGCTTTGCATACAGACGAACTAATCTCGTCAGATTGAGGCGGCGTAGTGGCTGCGGGTCAGCGATGTCGATGGATAGCAATGGTTGCGAGACACTGCGGGCTCCACCCAGCACTCCCACCTCGTGAAGGGCAATGGCCATGTGGACGCCGTGAACACGATGGCCACTGCGGGCCAAGAACTCAATCGCGGCCTCAAACAGGCCGACCAGAACCAGCGTTTTAAAATAAACGTCAGTTTGGTTACTGGCATGGAAATGTTTCTCGCCATACTTTTCCAGGATCTCCGACTGGAGCCTGCCATAGCCGCCGGCATCCCCAGGACGGAGCATCGCCAGCTTAATCCATAAATAGTCGTCGATGGTCTTCGCCACCTCGCCGTGCGACTCGTTGGGATCGCAACCCAGGATGAAGCAGTACACTGCCTTCTTATAGGCATCGGTGGAGTTCTTAATCTTGTTGGCGTACTGCAACTTCAGCTGTGTCTCTGTCCTCGAATTGACGGCGCCCGCATTGCGATCCGCTATGACCTGGGCAAAGTCCTCGTAACTGGAGCCGGCTTCGTGCAGGAATTCCACAGCCGTCGCTGCTGCTCCACAGCGCATTGCATAGTAGACCATGGGCCACAGTGGCTTGTTGTCCAACGTGTCCACTAAGCCAATTGTGTGCTGAGCGCTGAACCGATTGGTCACGTATGCGCGTACCAGTTGATAGCTATTGCTTGAGTGTGCGGCCCCCACCAGGGTGCACATGTAGAGCTTGTAGCGCCTTTCGAGATACGATTTGGCGTTAATAATGAACTCGGGCCGCTGCTGTCGAATTTTTATGGGGTCAGTGTGGATGGGCTCGTTCACTTGCGTCACTGAGGCCAATGTTAACCACATGTCCGTCAGCCGGTCATCGCCAAAGCTGCTGGACAACAGGGCGAACTTTTGCACAAGATTTGGTCGGTGGGCGCCCTTCAGCAGCAGTTCGTTATAGTGATGCAGCTCCTGGGCGTAGACAAGCTCCATTTGGCTGAGGCAGCTGCTGGGCGGTAAGTTAGGATCGAGGGTGATGTGCTCTGGCAAGCGCTGCAGGTCAATAAAGTTCTGCGAGGGCCCAATCAGGGCATCCAGCAGCCGGGTTTTCTCCTCATTCCAAGTGCTGTTCAGGTTGGCCCACTTCTGTTTGCTCACCGTTTCACTTATCTGTTGAAGACGCCGGCGAATGGAGTGGATTCGAAGTGAATGCAAGACACTGTACTCACGTTTTTATTGGTGTCTTCAATCACAGAAAGAATTGCGTTCTCGCGCTCATTTTTCAGGAACGTGCACACATCCGACACATCAGACCCAACCGCATCGACCGGCTCGAAGGTTTTGCGTGCATTGAGTGCCTCCAACTTCTGGGTCAGCTTGGGCAGATCTATGCCCTTGGAGCCGAGCAGTATATGCCTGCCACAGAAACATGATCAGCCTGGGATATTGTTTAAGGAATTGCTTTACTTACGCTTGTATATCTTTGTTGCTGGATTGAGTTACTCGTGAGTGGAGCTGTGTGGTAGCCTGCAGCACTTGTTGGAGCGTACGCTCCACCTGGGGTAGCTCATACTCGGCTTTCGCCTCATTTGTCAGGTTCTGGGCACGCTGCAGCAATGTATTAAAATCCATTTTGGCAATAAAAGATATTAAATAAATGTAAACAACAGCGTGAGCGTGAAGTTATCGATAAAATAGACAGACCTTCGGAAATTTAACGAAATATACCCTTGCATTTTCAAAATATACTGTAAATATACCGTAACTCTTAAATTATGTTCCTCGATTTGTATGTTCTATTTGATATTACTAGCTAGTTAGGTGTCTCCGCGCTAAAACTATAGTTTTATCCGATGTATCAATAAATTCTTCACAAGATTGGTTAGTATTGACGACTTCCTTTCCTTGGAATGTTTCTAAATTATGTTTAAAACTAAAAAGGTCAACCACCAAAAAGAACATAAAACGTTACGTGAGCGGGAACAATTTGACAATTTGTTGCTTGTCAACCGGAATGTATCCTGAAAAAATATTCTTAAATGTATCCTAAAAAAATATCCGGAAAAGTATTTAATATACCTTAAATGGTCACCGTGAGCACTAACACTAACCAAATAGTATAGTAGATTGTTAATTTGAGCCAAGCGAAACGTCACCGCTGAATGTGCGTCTCGAAGTCCCAGGCCTCTGCCAACGTCGCAGCTACAAGAATTAGTGCGTGTAGAACACGCAGCTAGAAGTCTCAGCTACATTTGTATAAGTGCGTGTAGAGCACGCAGCCAGAAGTTCCAGCTACATTTGCATAAGTCGTGTAACCAATGATTTTTGAGCGCTCCAAACCGGTTTTGATTCACACGGACACTGCAAGTAATGTATGTGTTGGTGCGCTGACTTTCTGAAGTGCGATGGAACAAAAATTCGTTTTGATGATTTTATTTTGCTTTCGGGGCTTGGCGTATGAACCTGACCTGCCGCAACATGTGCAGAATGAAGGGTGGGGATTGGTGGCCGGACCCTTGGGGCACTAACCAAATAGTATATATATGTATATATATATATATATATATAGTGGTTAGTGCCGTGAGTGTGAGCGCGGAACTATCGATAACATATACGGAAATATGGCTTCTAAAATTACAAAATAAACCGAATATCATAAATCATTTTCTTTGACTTTGAATTTCCTTTTTATATTACCAGCTATGACTCTCATCATTAATCTATAATTTTATTCGATTCATCAATATACATTGAACTCAATTTCGTTGGTAAATTAACTCGAAATTATAACTATGACTATGACTGATGTTACTGCTTCCCTGGAAATGGTGATATGAGCGCAGGCAAATCCGTTATGGCTGCCACAATTTAAACGAACGATGTACGATTGATAAGAAATAGCCCAGTTCTCCACATGCGATTTGAAACGACAAAGACGACGGCTGTGTTGTATATCATATATGTATGTATATTAATTAAATAATTAAATTAAGTTTTGAGGGACATACATTTACATCCTACATATACACTAATAACTACACGTTATATATCGATATCGAGATGCTGAGTTTTTTGAGTTATTTTGTTTACAAACAACTACACGAATACACGGTATCAACAGCAGCACTTTTTCTATTCTCTCTCGCTCTATCGTTCTCTGGCCTCAGCCTACCTCTCCGGAATGCAGGGGGAGGAGCTGACCACTAGAATCAGGAGACAGATTCGATTCGATATCTTCTCTTCGATCCATGTAGCACTTTAATTTTGTGTGAGAAAGTTTAGTATACAAATTGGGGCACCCACACCCACGCACACACACCCATCCATCATGTGTGTGTGTGTGCGTTAGTAGCGGTGTTTTGCGTGCATCTTAGCAAGGTACATTAAACAGAAGGCAGGGCTCCGACACGCCGCGAGAGTTATACAGCCTAACCTTCTACTTAATATATCTTACATGTTTAGTTTTTAGTTTTTCTTTTTTGCTTTGTTTCGCGTTTCGCTCTTTGTGTTTTGTTTTCTGTTTTTTGTTTTGTTTTATTTATTTAATATTTTTAAATTAAGATTAAGATAAAAACCTAATTATGTATCTTGTCATTTACGCCTTAAGTAAGTTCGATATAAAATTAGATGAAGCAGCAGCACTTCCAGCAAATAATACAAATAACATAAAAATTACAGCAGTACAGGGTGTGTTCGTGTTCGGGATCTTTTCTTTTAGTTTCGTTTTTATCTCTTCCTCATTCTTTTATAATCAATATTTTTGTATGCGTATGTATATATATATTTATATATATATATTTATATATATATATTTATATATATATATTTATATATATATATATTTATATATGTTTATATCACCTAATTTGATTTGATGTTTAATTTTTGTTTCTGTTTTTTTTCCCCCCGTTTTTGGGGGGAGTTAATGCGAGCGAGTAGTATTCTGGAAACTGGAATTTCTCAGACCATCCATTTATATGATACGAAATGCAGTGCTGCCACCCTACCACGCACACATGTTCCTTGTAACATTGCGCAAACACACAAAAAATACAGTCAATTTACATAATGGTTAAGTATGTACAATTGGATGTTAATGCTCCACCAAACAAGAACGAGAACGCCCACCCACGCCATGCGGCATCCACTATGCACTATTCTCCTCCTCTCCCTCCTGCTGTGGCCACACTTCATCTTCCTTAGTTCACATAAAACTGTAATTAAAATGAATTGCAATATTCATATATTATATTAGGGGGAGGGGAATCTCTCGTACTCTCTCTGGTCTGTCTCCTCTGCCGTACGTAGATTTCTGTTTGTTCACTTTATGAGTTTCTTTGCTGCATATTATTGTTGTAATATGTTGTTATTAGTAAGTGGTAGAAGTTTAAAAACTATGCTCTCTATATATGTATTTATATATATCAATCAATGTCTATACGTACGCCGAGTGCATGCACTTCCCGTTGGCATACACCACTCCATCTCCTGCTTTGTAGTTTAATGTAAGGTTATGCATTTATTATATATATTTAATATATGATAAACCATAGCGTGCGTATGCATATGTATGTGTTAGTTGTTACTCTCTTCTCCTAACGCTTCTCGCTTCTATCTTCCCGCTTCTCGTTTCTCCTCTTTGTCTCCTCTTTGTCTCCATTAAGTTAAATACGATAAGTATGCTGTGTGCTTTCTCTTCTCCTTCTTCTGCTCCTTATTTTCTTATCTGCGGTACGGTACTTTGTCCTGCGAAACGTCGCGATCGATCGTGCATCCTTCTTTATCATTATAATTATTATGTGGCTGCTGCAATCACTTATGCTTAGGCTTTAGTTTATATTTTTACTATTTATAGATTTGAGTGAAAAAATATACAGTTGTTATTGTATTGACTGTTGCAGTGAAGCCCACACACACATGACATTGGATCAGGCTCTGACGGAGTATGCCATATCCTTCTCAAGGGGATTCTCATTCTGCTCTCTCAACGCAAAACGCATGCAGGAGGCCTCCTTTTAAGTAAATGTACATTATTTGATTACATCGATATCCGATCAGGTATCCGGTCTCCATTTCACTGTTCCGTCTCCTTCTCAGTCAACTGCCCCGCGGCGCGGCCAGTAGTAGGACGCTGGCAGCATTGTCGTATACTACGCAACGGCTGTCGTCGTTCCCGCATTCGTTGGCGGTGCTGCCGCCGCCTGCTGCGACACGGCTGTGGCTGTGCCCGAGGCCGCACTTGATGATGAGGAGGGAGGCGGCGCTGCAGATGCAGCTGAAGTGGCATTGCTCAGGCTCCCGGTAAGGTTCGACGATGCCAGTCCGGCTGCGGCGACAGCTTTGCTCACCTGCTGCTGCTGCGACTGCTGCTCGGCGACCGATTGTGGAGTTGCGTGGGCTGCTGGCGTGGTCGGGGCATTGTTCATGGTGGAGGTGGACTGGCTTCCCAGACTGCTGTTGCTGCTGCTGTTGGTGGTACTGTTGTTCGTCTGGTTGCTGCTGGCCGTCCCGCAGCTGTTGCTGTTGGTGCTGCTGTTGCTCACGTCGTTGAAGGTGGCCGCCGGCGGTAGTTGCTGGCTGCTGTTGCTGTTCTCATCGTTGATCACTGCCGAGGAGATCATTCCGCTGCCAGATGAAGACGTGCATGTGGCTGTTGGCGATGGCTTGACATCAGCGCCACTTGGCTCAGCATTCGCTTCTCCACTGCCAGACTCCAATTTAACTCCGCTGCTTGGTGCTGCTGCTGCTGCCGATGCTGCTGCTGCTGCTGCTGCTGCTGCTGCTTCCGCACTTGCAGCCAAAGCTTGATTCTCCGAAGGACGCAGCTGTTGAAGCTGTTGCTGCTGCTGTCGCTGCTGCAACAGTCTGAACTCCACCGAGTGCATCCGGCTCGCTCCACGCGACACACGGTACAGTACCCGCGAGATGACCAGGGCCACCTGCTGGTCGAGGATGTGTGACATGACCAGCCCTAGGAGCCGCTGTTCCTGCTGCATGAAGAGCGACTGGTTGTCCGGATGCTTGGCCAGGTGCAGCAGAGTGCCGGCCGCCCGCCGCAGCATGTCCAGGCTAGTGCCCATCGAGTCTGGGTTCTCTCGCAGGAAGTTGAGTCCGTGCTGGTTGGCCACGCCCAAGGCTGTTTGTTCGGCCTGCTCGATGAAGGCCACCAAATACGAAATGCACGGCGACTGCAGTGCCACCGTCCGCGCCATGGCACTGTCCGCCGCAGCCAGGTAGTGCAGCAGATTCACAGAGAACTCACGGAGCACCTGGTCCTCGTTGCGACACAGATGGCGCGTCAGCACGGCGCACAGCTTCTCGAGGCGTGCGAACGGTGGCGTCGCAATGACCAGGTCCACGTTCGCATCCGTCACGCACAGCTTGCAGAGCGCTTCCAGCGCTAGGCGCTGCGGAGAGAGCGCAGAGTTGGGTCCGCACGAGGGGAACGGATCCTGGCCGTGGGCGCTAGGACAGACGGCCCAATGTAGAAGTCCGTCTATGAGTGGGCGGGCGATCAGCTCGTCGTAGCGGGAGAGCTCGAGGTGGCCGGCTATGTTGGCCATCGCTACTAGCATATTTTCCCGAATGGTAATCAGGTAGTCCCACCACCACTCGCGCTCCCCCTGCAGCGAGCTGCACGAGTCGCTGAAGTCGGTGTCCTCCTCGCGGTCGTAGTTGCGCGTCTTCGGTGTGCGCCGCAGGTGCTCGTGGTTCAGCAACAGCAGACGCCCCAGGACGGCCAGGAATCGCGTAGATTTGGCCAGCACCGTCTCGTTGCCGGGCACAAAGGTTAGATTGCGGAAAATGTTTGAGAGGGCGATGCAGCGGCGTGCAAGCGAGTCCTGGCTCTCGTTTACCAGGTAGAGCGAGGCCTCGTCCCGCGTGTAGCACTCGTCCTCGTAGCTGGAGTCGCGTTTCCGCTGCAGCACTTGCGCCGCATCCCGCACCGTCGCTCTGGGATCGAAGGCGCCCAACGCCGGCGAGGAGGAGGATGCTATTCCGTTGGTTAGACGCTGTTGCTGCAGGCTGGGCGACTCGATTTCCATGTCAACGGCTCGACAATCGCTGTCAGTGGTCTCCGTCGTACCGGATGTTCCCGTTCCCGGTTCCTTCTTCACCTCAGCATTTGGCGCAGCGATCTCATCAGTCAGTTTGGATTTCTTGACCTCGGCAGATCCTTCTCCGGCTTCACCGTTGCTGTTGCTGTTGCTGCTGTCGCCGCCGCTGACCAGACGCCGCTTTTTGTTGAATGACTCCTGGAGGAGATTGCCATCCTCAGTGCTGTTCGTCGTCGCGTTCTCCTCTTGCTTGATTTCAGGCTTGGGGCTGGGGGTGGCCGTGTCTGTGTCCTGGCGTGTTTTCGCCTTCTCGGAGCGGACATAGCGTGCGAATGGAATGTTTACGATCTCAGACTTGAAGACGTCAATGATGCCGTCGAGCGGATCCGGCTCGGTGAAGCCATAGGTCCAGGCATTACTGCCGACCGGCTCCAGCTGCTCGTACAGCCTGTTGGTGTCAATGTCCCACGCCTTCTGGCGCTCGTCCACGAATATGTCCTGCTCCGCAGCCTGGATTCGCACAGGCACACCTTTCCTGGTGACCATCGTGTAGTTGGGAGTGAACGAGAGCAGCAGGGATCGCTCCTCGGGATTTGGTTGTACTCTCACCTGGCCCAGATCGATGCCTTCGTCGGCGTCCTCAGAGTCGCTGCCTCCTCCGTTCTTTCGGTCCATATTTTCGTAGTGACGCTTCCGGTTGTAACTACAGATGCTCCGCACACACCGGCTCTGTCGTCCGCCCCGCACTTTGTGCTCGATGGCGCCCGTGCCCGTGCCCATGGCCGTGCCACTGTCCGCATCGTCTTCCGCCTCATCCAGTGGCTCCTCACAGCGTTCGTCGAACATCTCGGCGAGATTCTTCTGGAAGTGCTCGAGCAGCAATGTCAACAAGCCTGGCAGATTCGAGATGCCGAAAAACTGCACCGTGGAGTCATCGAAGAGCAGCACATTGAGCACGTCCAGGGCCCACGTGCACTCCGTCAGCAGTCCGGATCGCATGGCCATAAATATCCGCCACGGATCGACGGGGCACACATCCGACTTGGTCAGGCGCTTCCTCCTGTAGAGCACCGGGGTCGTCGACTCAACGCTGTCGTGCGGGAAGATCAGCTCCTTCTTCACCAACTGAGCCCCGGACCCGCCTCCGGAGACCTGCGGAGCATAGCCACCGGGCTGCTGCTGCTGCTGCTGTTGATTGGGCGGCAGTTGATGCTGATGCTGTGGATGTTGTGGATGTTGTGGGTGCTGCTGGTGCGGATGTGGATGCTGCTGGTGGGGAGGCTGCTGCTGCAGCGGCTGCGGCATTCCCGGACCGACGATTGGCGGTTGCTTCTGCGGAATCATTCCACCTGGTGCCGGATGGCCGATGGGCTGGCCCACCGTCTGAGATGATGGCGGTGGCATGGCATACGGTGGCTTCACCATCCCTCCAGGTACCTGGGGCATACCTGGCGAGGGGCCGCCACCGTGTGGCGGTTGCTGAGGTGGCTGTTGGCCTCCCGGAGGCTGCTGCTGTGGCGGCATGCCGGGCATCCGCTGCTGCTGACTCGCTGGCCCAGACGGGGGTCGTAGCGGGGATCCTGGAGGAGCTATGCCGGGCTGACTCGGCTGACCAGCGTTCATCTGTGTCCACTGGGGAGGCGCCTGCGGCTGCTGTTGACCGGGTGGTGCCACCTGTTGGTATGGTGGCTGCTGCTGCTGCTGTTGTTGTTGTTGTTGTTGCTGTTGCTGCTGTTGTTGTTGCTGCTGCTGCGGAGGCGGCTGCGGAGCCTGTTGTGGCGGATACCTATGCTGCTCCCACTGGGCCACTCCTGCGGGCTGTTGAATCGGCGGCCCATGAGTGGCACCAGGTGGAGGTGCTGCTCCACGCGGTGGTGCACCTCCCCAGGACTGCGGTGCTGGCGATGTCGGATACTGTGGTCGATACTGCTGCGCACCGCCTTGCCATGCTCCTGCGGATGGAAAACAAAATGGTATTAGAGTGGTTTAGCAGATTCAGCTGCGTGGAACGTACCGTAAATCTGTGGCCTTGCATTGTAGCCTGGATAGGGCTGTGGATCCTTGATGAAATCGGGATGCCTTCGCGGCTGTGGACTCTGCAAGGGAAAGGGCAGAGAGCTCGGATTAGCGTGAAATTGAAAGTGGTGGAGGAGGGGCGACTCACCTGATCGGGTGGTGGCCGATAGTAGTCCTGCTGCGTGGGTGTTCCTGGTGCATAGCCGCCAGTCGGTGGCGCCACAGGTGATCCACTCGTGGGTGGCCCGCCCGCCACTGCCTGTGCTGGTGGCTGGGGTCCACCTGTCGGGGGCTGACTGTACGGCCGGCTGCCATAGGGTCCATATTGATTGGCACCAGCCGGTGGACTACAAAGACATAAAGATATACAAGACGTACAGCATTAGTGGCATTCGTATTCATCCAGATATTTTCCAGCTTCAGCACTCGTCCAAACCCGAGGCTACAGTACAGTATTTTGGGGTGTGTTCTGTGTGTTGTGTTGTGTTGTGTTGTGTTGTGTGGTGTGGGTGTTGTGTCTGGTCTGGTCTGGAGAGAGATACAAAATTGGTGTCACTCACGCTTCCCCCTCCGGCCCGTAGGGAGGGTACATATTGCGGTTCTGTGGAGGATACTGTCCTTGGCCTTGTCCAAACGACTGGCCAGGCGGTCCCGTGGCATTATACTGATCGCTCGCACCATACTGGCCATAAGCTCCGGGTTGTGATGGATAGGGAGAGCCTGAAACGTTTACAATTGATTACAATTAGAGGACTGGGGAGAATGGGGCCTTTTTGGCATAGATTTAAATCGAAATTAAAGAACACATAATGCACACGGCCCTAGCCTTGTGAGGATATCTGATTTCAATAGCTGTCTGGACATGCAACTTACGCACTAAATTTTAAATCAACTAGTTAATTGTTAAGTTATTTGGTGGGAACCACATTCAGTCGTTAGATGAGGCGAGTACGAAAGCAAACGAGAGAGTAATGTAAAAATGTGAAAGGAGCGGAGCGTCTGACGCATGAAAGAAATTTTGGTGGAGAAACGGAAAAAGAAGAGATGATAGGAACAAAAAAATGTAAGATGATTATACCTGGCGTTCTAGACACAGGCGTTGGATAAGCGGAGCCACCCTGCGGATAAGGTGCTCCGGAGGCTGGGCGCACATGCTGCTGCTGCTGTTGGTGCTGCGGGGACGGTGGTGGTACCGGCCCAGGCCCATGTTGCTGAGGTGCACCCGCCGGTGGAGCACCCGGCTGTGGTGGCTGCTGCTGCTGCTGTTGCTGCTGCTGTGTCGGCGGCCCGGCCAGTCCTGGATGCTGGGGATGCTGCTGCTGCTGTTGCGAGGCCGACTGCTGGGTGGCGTGCGGTGAATGGGGAGGTGGCGGTGGCAGGGCACCGCCTACAGCAGCAGCAACAGCACCAACGCCGACACCAGGACCACCGGCACCTGGACCAGGACCAGGACCAGGACCAGTATCCTCGAAGGGATTGCTCACACTTATATTATCACCGACGGCGGCAACAGCTACGGCGGCGCCTGAAGCGACAAGCGGCGGTTCGGTTCGTTTCGGTTCGGATGAATGGTTGGTTGGTTGGATGGTTTGGATGAATCGAATTGAATTGGAATTGGAATGAATGAGTCAGTGGAATCACACAAATGAATTGTTGTTGTTGTGGCGTGGTTTCGTGGTTGTGGTTTGTGGGTGATCGAGTGATGGTGGTGGTGGTTCGGTTGAGTTTATGGTTTAGTAGTGCGCCCACACAAACGTTTTAGAAAAACATAAAAATGAATAAACAAAATATACACACATGAAATTAATAACGAACATTGAAATGTAGATATGTATACTTATGTATGTACAGGTAATCATGGGTTACAGGTTACAGGTTAGAGGTTACAGGGTTGGGCAATGAATTGTTTTAATGGCTGATAATAAGCATATCGTGTAGCATAATTTAGTAATGATAACATGGACACACATACAGGATGCCACAAAACAAAATGTAATTCCAAAAATATGAAATCAATTATACCGATATGTAGTACTAGAGAGCTATTGGGGCAGCTCTCTCGATCGATTGGGTAAGGGGTAAATATGACCAACAATCGAATTAGTTCAAATGAGAGCGCGCACACAACTGTGAGCTCTGCGTTGCAGAATCAGAACAATCAGCTCTTACCGGGATGAGGTGTCTGCGGGTTACTCTGCGAGGGCGGTCGCTGCATCTGGCCTGCCGCCGCATAATCCGGCTGCGGCCCACTGGCGCCAGGGTAAGGACTGCCGCCCGAATAGCCTGCATAGCCATCGATCGCAGCGTTCGGGGCGGCGCCTGGCGGGGCCGGGAATGAGTCCTGCGAGTTCGACGAGCCTGTCGAATTGGTTGTCCCAGCATCCAAATGGCCACCACCGGTTGGTTGCAAGTTGTGTGTGGGAGGGTTCGTTATCGTTTTCGTTTTTCGTTTTCGGGTTCGTAAAATGATGCGAGGAAAAGGTGGTGAAAAACATGTTCCATTTTCAACGACAATCAATCGCACAACGGAGGAATACAAATTAAAACAAAAAGAAAAAAAAAACGAACAGAGAATCCAAATTAAGCATCAAAAGAACATACCAAAATGTATGGGGCACCACCGCACGCGGCAGACACTTACCTGGCGAGGGAACGGAGGCGGCCTTGGCAGTCTTCTTCTTGCTGCCGGCCTCCACCTGCTGGATGATGGGCAGGGGATCGATATCGCCGCGATCAAAGTGGCACTCGAAAGTCAACAGATTCTTGGTGTAATGCTTCCGCAGCGTGTACGCTGCACTGCTGCTGGCCCCGATGCCCAGGAGGCCGGCAATGTCCTTCCAGGTCTTGCTCTTTGTCACCTGACGGAACGGGAGAATCGTATGGGGTTGGCATCATTAGTTGGGATTGCTTATATCCAAATGGATCATTGTCATAGTAATATCACTCAAGTGTCGATCGAAAAAAGAGAATCAAAGAAGGTATCGAGCAAAAAACCAACTTCGGTGTGGATGCATTCTCCGGAAAAGAAGGAAAATATAAACTACGTACAAAACAGGTATCGGGTTGGTTTTGGGTTAGCGAAACTACTGAATGAATATAGAGGATAAGGATGTGATAATACACACACAAGGAGAGAAAAATTAGCTAGGGAAATCGAACATCAGAGAGAGAGGTAAATGGGAATACGTGCAGAAACAGAACCAAAAGTAAAAGACATTAAAAACATATCGAAATTAATTAGTTCCCATTGAACACACATTTCAAACAATACAAAAAATGTACTTTCATGTCATTCCTGAGATATTTGATAGATTTATATATTTCAAAACTATTTAAAAAACAATTAAAAGAATGAATTGAGTTTGGAATCGATTTTTTGGAGCATGCTGTATATGGGTTAACTTATGCGGTAATAAAATGTTTTCGTTTGTTTTATTTGTAATGAAAAGCTTGCACCGTAGGCTAAATCTTGTACGCTGGATGCAGCTATAATTTAGACACTTGGATCGGAGGCTGGAGCTGGGTCTGATAGGGTGGTTGCTAGATTGATCGAGCAGCTCTGGTAGATTGACTTTTAGTTTCTGTAGCTACTAAGAAGCCGAATCGCAACATAGATTGATTGGTGTCTATTGTATATATTTTGTTGGTGGATATATCTTTTGATTTTGGTTCGTGTTAACTACGTTGGTGGTGGTGGTTGTTTTTTGGGTTGGTTTGGTTTTGGTTTGGTTTTGGCTGAATTAGTTTTGGTTTTGCTAGTAGTAAATCTAAAAAGAAGTTAGTAAAAGGAGTTACTACGGCACCTTGCATACCTCGACGAATCCGCCACGTTCTTTTACATAAATATATAACCTATATAAATCGAGTGGCTGTTTGGAGATGGTTGGACAGGCGGTTATCGGCGTCCGCCTCTCCTCCATGAAGGACCGCAGCTTGTCCAGCCATCCTCGCCTGTCTGGATTGTCGTCCATTTCGTACAGCTTGCAAAGCGAGTCAGACTTCTTCGTCGTGCTGCGGAAGGGCTCCTGCTGCACGGGTACATGGCTGTTGAACACCTGCTGTGGATGGCACATTGACTTGGTTCATTCCCATTTAAATGCGATGGTGGTGATGGCTCTACTTACCGGACTGCCAGTCGGACGCGGCCAATTGGGTGGCGAACTCATTTCGAACTCCTCGCCGGGGCCGCCACTGCCCGGGTGCATCACAACGGGATGCGGGGATGTGCTCGGGGGGGCTAAATGACTTTGGCTATAAGGATCATTCTTGCGTGACTTTGGTGTGGTGCATTGGGGATCTTCGCCGGAGGCTGTCGAACAAAGCAGAACCACACATTAGTTGCAGGTTTCTTGTGCGATCTTTCGTTTCACTCACCAGCTGATGCATTCGAGAGCGTGCTCTGTTGACTGACTTCATCCATGGGCGTTCCATCAGGGCCAGTGGTGACCACGGCCGTGACCGGGTGTAGCCCGGTAACGCCTGTCGGACCGGAGGAGCTTATCCCGTTGTCCTGCGATATGTGCTCAGTGCCAGCGCTGTCCGGACCGCCAGGCGGTTGTCCCTGGCCACCGAGCATCGACTGGGGCGGTGTGCTCGTGGGCGGACCCATGTTGGTAGGACCGTGCGGCGGTCCCATGTGGTGGGGAGGACCCATAGGCATGCCGGGATGCATTCCTGTCGGCCCATTGCCGTAGCCCTGCGGTCCCTGCGGCTGCGTGGGGCTACCTCCGTAGCCACCTTTGTGCTGTAAATGCTGCTTCAGATAGTTGAGTGGGCGGGGCGAGCCACTGCCCTGAGGAGGCGGTGGTCCCACCACCGTGGGCGGCGGTGTGCCCTTGCCCTGCACATGGTTGCCAACCATCGCACCGCCAGGCGGAGCACCGGCTTGCTGCTGTGGCGACGGCGACACCCACTGGTAGGGCGGATACTGACCGTGTGGACTCCCGCCGCTGTGGTTGGGCATCGACCGTCCCGGATAGCCACCTCCCTGGGCTCCAGAGGGCATGCTGTTGGCTCCGCCGGCGCCTTGGCTGCTTGGTGGCGGTCCGGTTGCGTAGGCTCCCGGCGGATACTGCGGCCGTGGCGGGTAGTTGCCTAAAATTGTACCAAAGTTTGTAGAATGCAATGGGAGAAGATTCCTCGGAAGAGTGCCTCATCGTACCTGGTGGATATTGCTGCGGCTGCTGCGGGGGATAGCCTTGCGCTCCAGGACTCTGGCCCGGACCGCCCATCTTGTAGCCTCCGTGCATGTGCGGCGGCATTGGGTAACCCCCGCCGGACGCACCTTGAGGAGGAGGTGGGGGCGTGCCCATGTTATTCATTCCTTGGCTGGGCGGCGGTCCCGGTGGCGGGGTTTGTTGCGGCGAGTTGCTCGCGGATGAGGCGGAGTTCGAGGCCTGCTGCTGCTGAGATTGCTGCTGAGGCGGTCCGCCTGTTAGACCCGGATGAGGGGGCATTGGTGGTGGCCCAGCTCCCACCGGTGGCTGCTGCATGGGACCGCCGCTGCTCGACTGGTTGCTCGCTGGGCGCGAGATTGGATGATTTTGGGCTGCAAGTGAAAATTGTTCATGAGATCTGCACCAAAAACGAACAGAGTCCTGGTACTTACCCACTGCTGGGGACATGGAACGCGAACCAGATGAGCCAGTGGGAGAAGGGGTGGGCCGCATGACTTGTTGGGGATTGGGTGTGCCGGGCGGACCGGAGCCCATGCCACTGTGCGCTCCGCCGCTGGAGCTGTCGTTGCTGTTCTGACCAATCAGCTCCTGGAACGGGAAAAAGAGCGGAACCAGTTCCGTTGTGAATGGCATTCAGTAGAGGCATAAGTGCAAAAGTGCCGGCCGGCCGGTAGTTTTTATTTATTTAAATGAAAGTAATAGCAACAACGAATTAGTCGAGCGGCAACAGCAATTAACTTAAAGAGAGCATACACACACACACACTTAGTGCATACACTTACACCTGCTGATGTCTGGTTGGTCTAAAAACCATTTCGAGCATTCGCCGCAAACATGCCTACAAATATATGCCTATGCCTATCAGATGTTATCCCAAATGGTGCTGTTGGGTCGGAGCGGAACAGCAAATGTTGTTATTGTTACGTAGCGGAACAGGCTGACACAGCAGAGAGCGGGTTGGAAGTGTGTCTGAATAATCTCAATCATTGGGAGTGAGCGAACGGATACAATTACACTCTTGTTGCAATGTCCCCCTCGCTCTCTACCCCGTTATCAACCTTTTCTGACATTGCCAAAAGAATTATTATCCCTCTCCTCCTCACACACTTACACAACTTATGCGGCGACACTCGTGCAATTATAACCCGGTCAGAGCCAAGAGGGGAAATTCTCATAAACGCCAAATCTCTCGCAGCAATCACAAATCTTACAACAGTCTTCAACAGAAACTCGGTGCGATGCGACACGACTTTAAATTTGTTGCCGCCTTATAGCTTATAAGAAAATCAAGCAAAAGCTCCACACCGCACAAACAATTTCAGCCAAGGAAGCATACACACAGTCTTACCTACATACATACACATAAAGCTTAAGTCGACAGCAATTCGAAACACACACACACACCCCAATGTAAGCACAGCAAGAGAGAGCAAAGCAGCAGGCACAGACAGCGACAGTAAGAAAAATACAGCTAGCGCTGTTCGTTTTGGTATCTGAGAAATTAAGTGAAGTGAAATGAAATGTACGACGACGACGACGACGGCAAAGGCAGCAGCAGAAACAGAAACAGAAGGGACGGGGTGAGGACAAGTAAGGGGGCACGGGGCATAAAAGCTATGTGGAACGAACGACGGACGCCTGCAACTTGAAGCACACGGCGGAGGGGAGAGACGCAAGACGGGATACAGGCAAGTGGCTGTGTCTGTGCTTTGCTGTGCTCAGCTCTCTGTGGTAGTTATGGCGCGCTCGAAACGAACGGCGAACAGCGAACGTACGATGACAAAGACGTAGATAAGGAACAGAAACATGCACACACAAACACAGATACACACACACACCCGTACGCTCGATTATAATAAAATGAAATAAGCAACGGCGTCGCCAGCCAGCCCGGCCGTTCGTATTCGTATTCGTTTCTTCGCTCGTTCGCCGTCAGAGGGGAGCCAAAATACGTTGAGTGTGAGAGCGTGATGTGAGCGAGGGGGCCAAGGGCGGCAGCAACGGCGACGTTGATGACGAGAATAGCAAGCAAGCTAAAGCATGGACGTACGGAACGGCAGGAGAGGGGACGCCAAAGGCGAAGCAAAGGCCAGAGATAGAATGCTTTGTGAGCGGATAGCTGTTGGTGTGGAGGGGGGTGTGGGAGCAGCGAGGCAATACGAAGGCGGCCCACGTTTGTAGTTAAGTATGCGTAGCTGTGTGTAGAAAAATTACTTGGAAGAAAAGCAAGCGCTGCGGGAACAACAACAATGAAATCATTTATAACGAAAGAACACAACAAAATGAATAACGACAAAAAATAAAACAGAATTCGCACTCGAAGTTCGAAATAGCAAAATAAAGCAAAATAAATAAACTAAAGAAAAGCCCCCGCCCTGCCTTCGGCTACCCCTTCCCAAAATCACTCTATCCCATGCGATTACAGCAAAATTTTATTGAATTGACTGTTAATGTTGTGGGTGCAGTGGGGCCGAGAGCGAGACAGATAGAGAGTACTCATAAAGTTTAGCAAAGATTTGCGCGCCAAAAAGCAGGAGATTCAAGTGAATGAGAATCTCGAGGAAGACAGAAAGGGTTCGAGTGGAGTTTGAATTTCGAAAACGATTCGTTTTGTCACTTCTCTCCAAATGCTAATGATGGACCCCACTTCAGATCACATCTTCTCATCTTTCCGTAAGATTGGAATGATGTAGCGCCTTTTGCCACAATTTTTGAATTTAGTTTTTCAAAAGCACTTTAACTCTTTTTTTATGCAACGTCATTTAAATGAAGAATGTACAAACACCAGCATGTGCCACACACACAAGCATTTTTCCATGTGTTGCGTGAGTCTGCCCCAGAGTTGTTGGCCGTCAGCTGCTGCCACACCGCTGTTGGGACCTTTGTGGCTTATCACCTTAAAACCTTTAGCGATGAATGTTGAATGTGGCAGGCACAAAAACGTAAAACAAGGCTAACACACACTCGCATGGACTCTTGTTATGCCGCGCAACGGAAGAAGAGGGAGATGAAAAAGTAAGAGAATTTAATGCACAAAAGGAGCTCTTCACACCGAGATGGGAATTTGTAAACAGCCAACAAAAAAAAGAGAGACGAAGTAACAAACTTTTGGATACGAGTATCATAAAAAACAGGAAGGGAGCTTCATAACTTTAGTGACCAATGCTTTTGATACCCTTCTACGATTTGTATTCCTTTTGGCCAAATTTTATATAGAAAATTCCCTTGTTATAATTTTACCAAATTGATTATATGAACAGAATTCCAAACTCAACTACCTTTAAATTTGAATCTTCTTGAGGGTGCACTTGAAGCTGGTGGGGTCGCGCGAGCACCACATCCCCTCCGACCAATACCAAGCCCAAGGAACCAAAGACACAAAGAGTGGGGGTGAAAGAGTGCAGGCACAGCTGAGCGGTTTCGAAAACAGCTACAGAGAATCAGACTGTCTTTCATTAGAGTGTGCATGTGTGCTGTAGGAGTGGAAGCGGGATGCATTTTCTGTTTGTGCTTGCTTAAAAATTTTATGAGCGAAACGAAAGTTTGTGTGGCTCTGTGTGTCTCTCCGCAACTTTATATACATGTGTGTGTGTCTGTGTGTAAATGGCATCGGGGTACGCCAACAGCAAATGTACACATACACACCAACACTCTCAAACACAGAGTATGCCATCAGAGAAGTCGGTTCGGTTCGTTTCGTACCATTCGTTTTGCAAGCACACGATGACTCCCCTGCTCTGACCACTTTACAGCATGGCAGCAGACGTGACAGACAGACAGACAATCCAAACAGACCGCCAGCCCGACATCAGTAAAAACAACAACTGCAAACCACTTTGTGCACAGACAAATGTCCCATGAATCGAGTTGGATGGAGCTCAGCTCACAGCGCCAGAGCCCTAGTCAGAGCCAGAATGGCAGAGCCAAAGCCAAAGCCAAAGTTCCACTTCTCTCCGCGCCGCACCGACTCTGTCTAAAACCGACATGTTCGCTTCGTTCGTTTCGATTCGTTTGGTGGTGTGTATCCAAACGAGTGAACTGAAAAAAGCTAACTCACACACGCGTACGTAAGTATGCATGCGAATAAAGGCACACAGAAAAGTAAGAAGCAGAAGCAGAAGCAGAAAGGCAGCCGCAGAACTGAATGTTCCTTATTTTTTATTTTATTTTTGCCTTTTTGTGTCTATGCCTGTTAAAATGAAAAACGATGATGATGCCAACAACGGCAGTGAAGCCAGAGGCAGAGCCAGCCCCAATGAGTGGAGCACTAAAAATCCCAGTAACAGGAGCAGCAACAACAACAGTAAATGTTACAGAGAAAAACCGGCAAAATTTTTCATTGGCGGCTGGGCTGTCAGCCATGTGATGGCTCTGCGGGCTCAGGGCGAGCGGGTGAGTCTCCAAATGTAGCGCAGGAACAGACCCGAGGCAACTTAGCCGTGGAGATGGGGATGGTCGCGTGACTAGATTTTTCAGTCAAAGTCGACAACTCTTTCACGTAAATGAACGCACGGCATTCTACATATACACATGCATATGTACATAGGTCACGCGCACACCTCTAGTTCGTTGTTGCACTACAATTTGGGTAGCATGAAATGAATGCCGTTGTTGTTGGCTGTTGGGTGCAGATTGCATACAGAATATGACGCAGAGCAATCTTGAAATAAGGTTTGAAGTAGGACAACGATGGCTATCGTGATGGGGACAGTGCTGAATATCGATGGAAATGTCACTGGAAGTTTAAATCATCGCATAATGCTTGCATGTGCATTCTGATGAAACCATTTGATATAACGATTGCAAGAGACCGTAAAATGTTGGAAATTTTTGTTGCCGAAGCGGGAAATGTTGAGTAGTTAAGTATTGCAATATTATTTATGTCAGTGTTGTTCACACACTCACAAATGGAATTGAAAGCAGCTTACAAATGCAATATTGAATCAGCTAGGGCGACAATGGAGTGGACTCCATTCCCCAGCCAAGCCCCATGTTCTGCAGGTTTAAACTGGCTGGACGGCTGATTACAGTTCTTCCGGTCTCTTCTGTTTGTTTTTTGTCGCAAGTACCATTAAAAAGGTAATCAACATAGCCAGAGGGGGTCAGGAGAATGAAAGGAGACCGATGCTCAGAGGGTGCGGTCCGAAAGATTATGAGACAGAGTAGCGTAGTTCAGCGTGAATAGTTTGCAGTTGCAGTAACATTTTCGAGGGGGAGAGACACGTGCTCCACCATTGATGGATTAAAGAAATGTACATATGTAACATATGTAATTTGGAAAAGACATGTAGACGATGGGAGACATTCAAGATTTAAGGATTCACAAACAAAATGATTTGCAACAAAAAACATAAAAATGTAAACACGAACCGAAATAACACGAAATAACAGACAAAAGCAGCAGAAACAAGAAGGAAAAGGAGAACATCAATGACCTTGGCATTGACCCAAATATATGGAAACAGACAAAGCTTTGTGTGTGATCTTGAGCGTAGTGTAGTGAGTTTGTGTATGAGTATGTTTAACGGTGTGTACACCAAATATAAAAGGGAATGAGGGGAGTGGGGAAAAGAGAACCAAAATACAAAATAAAGAAATGGCAGGAGAATGAACAGCAACAACAGCAACGGAAAGAGGAGAGCAGCACTGCTGGGGCGCTGGGAGAAGGCACAGGCGGCCGCGGACATGCTGAAAGAATAAATGGGTTTCGGTACACAAAAAACGCACACATAGAGGCATATAAGAATGTAGTTACGCAAGGTAAATACGCATACATCTACATATGTAAGGTAAGACAGACCTAACTCTGCAGGTTCCTTAGTTGTTAAGAATATGTTAAAATTTTGCAGATAAGTAGATATTAGGATATATGGTAGATATACATGGTGGATATTGCCCCCACGATAGCCGCATATCGTCCAACAAAAAAACAAAAACATAATTCTTAGACAACAGACTAAAACAAATCTATCGAAACTGCTCATGACACGTGCATACCACACATACGGTAAAGGGGAGACGGATGACAGGAGGCAGACTTGCCGGCGATGCGAAAATAAAACAAAAGACAAAAGAGAAAAATGCCAATAGCAGACGAGACGCAAACGTAGCGACGCCGCCACGCAAAGAAATAGTAATCAAAACAAAATAAAAATCATTAAAATTCATAAAAAAAAGACAACGACAACAACAACGATAAGAGAAACAACAATTTTAAAGTTGTACCAGGAATGGAACAGACCAGGGAGAAAACGAACGGGATGCGATAGCAGTTCAAGTTCAAGCGATAGACAGATACAGATGGAATGAGCTGGGGTGGGAGGTGTTTAACCTAAAAGAAAATTCGTAAAACACAAACAAAAGAGAAGAGGCTGAAAGGGGTAGGGTAGGGGAGAACCAGACGGAGCAGAGCTCAACCCAAAAAGTGAGTGCGAGCAAGTACCCGTGCCTCCTATAGTAAATATGCGAGTGCCATCCCATGGACAGGCATAAACATTTGACCTGCCTGTGCCTCTGTCTGTTCCTGTCCGTATGAGAGGGACAGAGTGTGAGTGAGTGGACGAGTGCTGAAGTAGAGTGTGGCGGGTAAAAGGCTGGCAGGTGAAGAGTACGTATGAGTATATGCCGCATCTGTGACGTCACCAGTCAAGTTCACGTGCTGTTCACGCAGTCCAAGTTTATTGACCCACTTTCGATGTGTATTATCTAGAAATGCCGCCAACTCGAGGCGCATGCGAACGGAGGGGCACGCGGACGGGTCTCTGGCGAGGCAATCCAAACCAAACCATACAATGAACGAGTATTCATTCCCCTTAAAAATGCTCCGCATAACGGAATCATCATCGTCTCGTCTTTGTGCTTACCTGATGCGGAGAGGGTGATGCCTGCGAGGGCTGTGGCGAGGGACTGGGCGCATGGCCTGGACTGCTGGGTGGGGGTCCTCCGGCGGCGGCATGCGGCGGAGGGGGCTGTTGCTGTTGCAGTGCCTGCGACACATGGTGCGGGGAGGCGGGCGGCAAGGGATGTCCGGGACCAGGACTGGGCGAGGAGCCGCCAGGCCAGGGTCGATTCGGTTCCGGATACTGAAATGAAATCATGATTAATCTCTGGTTGGACCCCTAAAGGAGGGCAATGCAATCCTCTCACCTGGTGCGTCGAGTAGGCAGTTCGATGATTGGGTCCCGCGGCCGGCAGTCCAGGCGGAGTGGGGTATCTTTGCGGGTACGGCGAATATTGAGATGTTGGCGGTGTGTTCTGCTGAGGCTGTTGCTGTGCGGCTCCCGGCGGAGGTCCTCCCGGTCCAGCACCGCCAGGCTGCTGACCCGCCTGCTGTTGTGCCTGTGCCTGTTGCTGCTGCGGCGAACTAGGATAGGAACCTGAATTTTGACCGTGAGCTGGCGGGTAGGGCGACTGACCCCTGGAAGTGTTTGTCTATAAATAAAGAGGAGAAACGAAAGTTAATCAATAAAAGTATTATAATCCTTTTTCAAATGCACCCAAAATAAATCTATTAAGAATCAAGAGAGAGGAAGAGAGGGTGTGTGAGGGACAGACACCACATGGCGTTTTAATTAAAGCCAGTTCAGTTCTCTCCCTCCGCTGTCTTTTGCAATTCATCAATTATTTGCGTTTGTATTTGCTTTCGTTGTTGGTTGTCTGCGTGCAGAGCACCGCACATTCCGTTTTATATCGTACATATATAATTTTAATCGATATTCCACAATCACATCCCCCCGTAAATGCGCAAGCACCCATTCCATTCCATGTACAGTGGCGGCCCGCTGATTGGAACTCCCTCTCGCTCTCTCTCGAACTGCGTATGGGAAATTTTCAGCAATTAAAACGGGAAGATGAATACTAGACAATAATTACAAACATATGACCCAGGGATCAAGTGCCTCTAATTATCTGGCGCTCACTGTAGCACTCTCGCAAAAACACACAGCCACAGACAGATGCTAGAGAGAGAGAAAGCGAGACAACGACAGTGACGCACACTCCTCGGGTGTGACAGTCACAAATGCGAAGATTAACAAGAGACAACTCTCAAAAAACGAGAAATATGCTTCTGCAAAAGGAAACTAAATACTGTCAATAAAAAAGCTGAAACATTTACCGCTATATGTACGTAGCTACAGACGCACACACCCATGACATCCCTAATCCTGAAATAAGGCATAACTTAGGACAGTCGATTGCCGGACCCGCCGCCCGTCCGACCGGTCCAGTCCACCATCCCAAGAAATCCACTTGAACGGAATATAAAGTGAAACTTATGCCGGGAACATGCACATGCATGTTGTCCAGGACCAGCAGCCAACGACAAAGTTGCAACAAAGCAACCTACGAGACGGAGACACCTCGGAACGTCGTGGCAGAGAACAGGAGTAGGACGAGCCCAGCAAAAAGAGCTTGGGATGCTATTAATGAAAGGATTTTCAACTTGACGTAGTGCGACAAGGCACAAATACAGACATGTCCTGACATGGCAAGGCACCAACACACTCGCCCTCGCAAACATGTACATGCAGCACAGCACTCACACGAGTGTTGCTGCGAATGCCAGCCCTGGAGTAAAATGTGGCAATAAATCTAATGGAAACACACAGCCAACAGCCAACGAACAGAGCGCAGAGCCGGGCCAGAGCCAGAATTCAGGGCAGAGGACCACGGACCAAAGCTAAGGGAAAGGAAAGCAAAGGCAAAAGCCAGATCTCCTCGTACGCCGTACGGGCAACGAGGATGAGAACAACGACAGCAAAACGCCAACAACAAAAACAATCGACAACGACGACTGTCGGTCCACTGCAGGCGGCGGCAGGGTGACAGGAAACATGAATGGATGGTTTCGTACTCAGTGTGCAATATAGAGTGAGAGAGGAGAGTGTGTGTGTGTGTATAGCAAGCCAGGCAGTGAGAGAAAAAAAATAAAAAAGGGAAACTCATCATGGATGAAAATCAAAAGCAGAAATGTGTACGAACGAGCCAGCAGAAGGGCAGGCAGCCGAAAGGGAACGACGGACAGGCAGCGGGTAGGAACGAAGCTGAAGTGGAATTTGAATTAATGCAGCAAGGGTCGTACGGTACACACACATACAATGAGTGTAACGAACGAATGACGGTTGGAATGAACGTCGGTCGGAATTACGTTCGAGAGTGTTGGAGTAGCAGCAGCCAGGAGAAGGGAGAGTGGAGGAGGGGAGCGGAGCTACCAGAGATGGGATGGTGCTGATGATGGTAGTGGTGGTAGGTTTCCAACTTAAAAGCCGGCTCTGTTCGGGACCAAGGGCCACTGCCAACAGCGCAGCCATACTGCTTACATATATTTTATAATATCGCGGGGAAAAACAAAGCGCAGCAGCCATGGTAGGCACAGGGGGAGACAGGGAGTGGTCCTGTCAGGGGCTTGGGTTTATAATTTCATAACCAACAGACACAAACACACACACACACACACACACACCGACAGAGCCAGACGGGAGCGCTTGCATAAATTGTGAAGGAGGGCGAAGGGAATGGAACATAGTAAAAGCGATTTTGAAGCGAAAAAGGTAAAGCCGGCAGCAGTTGTAAGGGTTGCCAGGCCATGCCACGGCGCATTGTGTGGGAGCAGAGGGCAGGGCAGGACAGAGCAGGGACGTCCCAGCAGGCTGATGGCAATGGGCGTACGACGAGAAGAAGGGGCTTGATAGAATTACGTGCAGGAGTCGAGCGAAAATAATTTGAAATGCTACAATGTGACACACCACTCTCTTCACATTCCCCCAAAGACTGAGCCACAATGCAGGCCGAAAAGTATTAATTGCAACTATAGAAAACAGAAAGATCCCGGAAGAGTGGGAGAGCGGCCAGCGCCTTGAGCTTACCCAAGAGTTTAGTCAAAGGAGATAGACCGACCAAAAAAAGAGAAGCAGGAACAACATAGGGACAACAAATATCACTTTACTTTATATATGATCAACTTTTTGTAGGTCAAACTTTAAAGATAGACCCCATACATTCACAAGCCGGCACACACATGCAGAGCTCAAAAACGGCTTTTCGCCACCGCACGGCACACACCACCCGATAAACGTGTACCCAAAAAGAAGCACGGCGCAAGAGGATGATGAAGAAGCAAACCAAAAGGAACAACAACGATACACAGTAAAGCAAGCAGCAACGGTTAATGCAGTGAAAAGAGCCCACCTATAAATATTTAAGGCGGAGAAGTGTTGTGGGGGCTGTGCCAGAAATAATTTTACGAAACTTAAAGCTGCCTAATATGCCTATACAGATGCACACACATTTACAGTTATTTCCTCTCTGCACCTGTTGTCCCAATAAAGGGAATATCCTCCTTGGTTTGGCGAAACGTCAAGGACTCATCATCGCGTTCTTAAATTGAGAGAAATGCACCGAAGCTAACGGAGGAACATCGCACCGAAGAAGCAGAGGCGGCATTCAAAGAGACGACTGCGGCGGCATGTCATAGTCGACGAGCCCTCCTCCTCCTCTTTGACTGTGCGCTGGGTCTCGCTTATTTTTCGTATTTTTATTTTGTTTTGGTTTCTGCTTCCTCTCCACAGCTTGCCGGCTCCCCCCACCCTCCCCTCCCTCTCTTTCACTTCAGCTACCCCAGTTCCCAGAGAGTCAGCTGTGACAACAACAAGTTTCTCTGTTATTGCCTTTGATTACGGTGCCTACTCTTTCACATAGGTATACATGAGTACAAACATATGTGTGTAAGGTCTGTCCGTCTGTCTGTCTGTATTTATTGCATGCACGCGTAAGTCACACTCTGCACACTCACGAACACACACACACACTCATCTAAATGCTATTGGATAGCGGTGTTTTACTCTTTTTATCTCACAATACACTTGCACGCATAAATATCTATGCACATATGTATGTAAGTTTGTTCTAATATCATCAAAGCTCTCGAAGGTCGCATCGCATAGCTCCGCATCGTCTCGCACAAGTCTAAACCCTAGCATTGCTTTTGATTTGTATATTCATATAGATTTGTTTATATTGCTCTGGTTAATCGTCGGGCGGCATCAAAGTTCGTTGACTCTTATCCGCGAGACATCTCCCTCCCATTCATGAAAACAATCGATCCGATTGCAGTGGAATTGATATTCCACGGAGGAGATGACTCATTTCGGGTGTAATATGACTTGAGGAGCAACGCCTCTTTGCAAAAGTAAGCAATGAAACTCGTACAAATAATTAACCGGTTTACATTTCACATCAAAACGTGATGGGTTCTCTCACGTGCTTTTCCTGAAGCAAATATTCCACATGTATCGCTTGGCGAAACTGATAGTGAGTCTACTATATGTCCAGCTTATTTCATTATAATTTTAAGGGAACTGCTGACTGATAGCAAGGTTCACACCACACCAAACTAGATTTCTTTCATCCAGACCAGTGGATCTCCGGTGGCTCTATCCGTCAATTTGCTTATTGGCTTCACACCGAAAGTAACTTTCGCAATAATGCAGTTAGGAAGGAAACCTTAGACCGACCGTGCAACAATTTCAAACCAATTCCAATCAAATGCTTTTGGAATTGCCGTAATTGAAGCCACAAAAGTGAATGGATGCGGATGCCTCAACATTTTTCGCGTATAAACTCTTGCTTCTTCTCCACCTTCTTTTTCAGCGTTCTTTTGCGGTCTTTGTTGTTATTGTTTTGTGGCGGCAAGTGCCGGCTCGTTCTCCCTCTCTCCCACTCTCGCCCCACAACCGGAACTTAAACGCCAAACTGAAGGAGAAAGAGGACGGGGACGGGGAAGGTGACGGGCTACATAACGAAAAGGCGCGGAATATACATGGCTTATGTGTGTCAGTGTGCCTGTGTGGGAGCGAGCAGCAGGACTTGCTTGAATCTTTTCACCAAACTCTGAATGAAGTGCGACCAAGCGACGAAACCTTAAAAAGTAACAGCAAATATTGCCAGCCTCCCTCCAAATTTACACACACACCCACATTCGACCCAGCTCCAAGTACATGTGTACAAAACGTGACGAGCCCCTCTCTTTGAATGGGTTGGAGATGGGGTGAGGTGCAGATTGCGCTAGCATAAGGCCACATCTCGTGTTTTGTATGCTGTATTCCGTTATCTGCGAGTGCGAGTGTTTGTGTGTGTGTGAGGGAGTCGAGAGTTTTGGGTCGATGGAATCAAAATCAGTGTCAATGTCAACAAAGCTCTTAAAAAATGAAGAAAAGAGAGCCACCTAGAGAACATAAAAGAAAATGTTTCTGACCAACCGCACACTTACCGGTGGTGGCGTCCTATACTGCTGCGACGGCCCCAACTGAGGACTATAGGGTCGGGGAGGTGGTGCCCAGCCGCCCTGTTGCGCTCCGTACGGCGATGGCTGATGCTGTGGCGGAGGCGGTCCATGTCCTGGGGGTGGAGGCGGGGGTCCTCCCGCCTGCTGTTGGGCAGCTACTGCCGCCGCCGCCGCTGCTGAGGCGGCTTGCTGGGGATCATAGCTATTCGCATAGCGGTGCTGCGGGGGCGGCGGCGGATTCGAGGACTGCAGCAAGGAGTTCAGCGTGGGCGTGGGTCCCTGAGGCGGCTGGCCAGGGATGTAACGTTGCTGCTGCTGCTGTGGAGGCCTATTGGGCGAGCCTCCCGCACCAGGGGACTGCTGCTGCTGCTGTTGTGGTTGCTGCTGCTGATGGGGCTGCGGGTGCTTGCCGCCGGGCGATGGCTGGCCGTAGCGGTATGGATCCATGTTGGGGTCGCCCGTGTGGTACCGCGCGTAGGCAGGATGAGCGTGGGGCGGTGGTAGGTGAGCCACAGCTGCACCGTACTCGTCCTTTACGCCGGGCGCATGCTCAGGTGCTCCTGGCAGCGGCGCCGGCCCGCTGTGATGCTGCATGTGGGGCGGTGGCGGCGGATGCTGCTGCTGTTGTTGTTGCTGCTGATGCAGATGGTGGTAGTGCATAACCGCCACTGGGTCCGGTGGTGCACCTGGTGCCGAGCCAGGTGGTGGTGGGGCGCCATAGGGGTGCGGCACTCCGACATTTTGCTGTATGATCGGATCGCTGCCGTTGTTGTTGGGCGTGGGTGGGCCGGAAGTGGGTGGCGTGGATGCAGAATTGGCACCGACACTGGTACCTGTACCACTGCTGGCTGCTGCGGAGGCGGCCGCACTCCCAGCTGTCTCGGGAGGAGCAGCAGCGGGGGCTCCGGCTCCAGCACCTCCCTGGGTTGACGGGGACTTTATTTTCTCATTCATGGCTGCTCATTTGCTGCTGCTTCTGACGGTGTGGCTGTGGGGGCTGGGGAGGACCCGCCAACAACGCTGACGCTGATGATGACGACGACTTCTCCGACGACTGCAGCGGCAAATTTGAGGTTATGTTAGCTGCAAGTTATCAAAGACTTTCATTAGTTCCCTCTCGTTCTACTCTTTCAACTTCACTTAATTTGGATCTAATCCGTACGGGACCAATAGCACGGGACACCAGATTTGTATATTGGGAAACATAAATAATTTGTATCGGTTCATGGCTCAGTGTATTGAAAAGTCCGCTACCAACACCGACACGAACACACCAATACCACATCAACATTTATTTCTGCCGCGTACAGAGATTGCCGTGCGTTGACAACCCTGCCGCTCGCTCGCGTGCTCTCTCTCTGGGCTTAAGCGCAGTCCACCAACAGTTTTTCTCTCTCTCTCTCGCTGGCTCTCTTTACATTTGGCGGCTATACACGCACACGACACGCCGTCTCCGTCTCACTTGCACTTGCCCCACGAGCAGGCCTCTACATGCATATGTCGCTCTCGCTCTCACTCTCGCACTTATGGCGTTATTAGTTTCTGTGTGAAACGAACGAAACGAGCAGTAATGATTTTTTCTTAATTATTTTCTATGCCGAATTTTCGCGTTTACGAGGAACCCAAAGGCTTTCGACACGGATCCATCTCCGAAGCCTTGGACAATACATTTACCAGCTCCCGCGGCATTTGTTAACTCATCCGACTTATAAATAATTGCCAGCCAGTGGGCAGCCGCTTTTTTTTTGTTTCTGCTACTTCTCTGCCACTGCTGCTGGCGTTTGTCTTCGTCTCGCTTGTGCTTCGTTTTGGGGAGAAGTCTTTTGCGTTTTCTGTGGTTTTCGCTTGCTTATGGTGATGATGCAAGGATCTGCCCCAACATCCAATCATTTGCATATGTACACACATGAACACCTTTGGTGTGCTGCACCAAAACCAACAACAACAACAAAAGCAGCAGCGGCAGCAACTTTCGAGTTAACAATTGTTTAGTTCACTCGCCTGTGGGCGAAAGTCCAGGGCAGATTGTGGATCTTTGCGGATTTTTTGATGCTTTTTCTTAACTATACAGCTAATACACGCACGTACACTTACACATAGAAGAATATTCACGCATTGACGACCGTCCATAGACTGGCTATATATACTGAAAACGAACTCGCGCGAGAAGACAGGGACAGGGCAGCAAGCTCGGTATACGAACGAAACGAATTTGAAGTGTATGCAAGTCTTGTCTGGCTGCTCTGCGCTGCCAAGGAAATTTTTTCGCAAGGCTGCTAGGCTTGCAAAAACACTGCGGGGGAGGGCACACTCACTCGCGACTGATCACCAGATATACCCTGCACATGTTGCACATAATTTTCTCTATTAATACAGTGTATTTCACTTAATTTTTAAACAATTTCTCAGCATGACGACGGAGCGAGCCACATACAAAGCGATTTTTTTGGCAAATCAAATACAACGAGAAAGCCGCCGCCGACGAGAGCAGATGCACGAAACGACTGCTTAAAATGTATTTTGTATTTGTTTGTTGCACGCACAATTTAACCACTTTAATACACACAATTGTTGGATTTTATTTTTTCTTAAACAGCGTGGACGCCATTCTCGTCTCGCTTCGCACAATTTTTTCCTCATTTATTTACGACGAGTAAAAAATACCAACAAAAAGGTAATATTTTCAATGTGACCGCAGAGTGGTAAATTCAAAATCTCGAACTAAATGTCCAAAAATGGCGACGTTTGTTATGGCAACACTCGCTACGTCTTTACGATATATTTACCGATATACATACACTACGTAGTTTGCGTAACTTTTTTGCTGACAATAAACTGCTGGAACGTAAAATTGGACACACCTTAAAAATAATGTGTGCACCCCCATCTTTGTAGAGAGTAATTGTCAAACCAACATTGGATAGTTTTTGACTTGAATTTTTATATTTGTTTTGAACAGGAGTAGTGGTTAGTACTTGAATTATTTCGAGCACGATTGTTCAAGCCTCGTCCAGCTCGTGTGGAGTCCAGCAGCCAGAGTAGAGCGTGCAGATCCAACAGAAGAGCTTCCACAAATTCGAAATGAAATTCATATTTGAAATAGCCGGCGGTGGCGCCTTATAGCACACCAAATGCGCTTACATTTTCCCCGAGTCAGAGCCGTAAGCTGGCTGCCATGAAACTGCTGTGCGCTGTGAATACATTTTGTAACGGTTATTCAATTTGTAACTACAGCTGGAACTACCGTCCCAGGTAAGTGTATATCCAGCTGCAGGAGATTCGAAAGACAAAGACGCTGCAGGGGAATCTGTATGCCTGGCACACTTGAGATTATTTCTTAATTGTTAATTTCGTATTTTAATGCCCCGAATTCCCGCTTTATGTAACTGCAGCTTGAACAAAGAAGCAAAATAAAAGCCAACGCGCAAAGCGATTAAGCCGATTTCGATTGCTAATAATACGCAAATTTTTTTGCCTGTCCTCCCGTTTCTTTCATAACAAGTAATTCTGTTGTTGTTATACCCGGTACGCGAACAGTAAATAGGGTATATTGTATTTGACGACCCCACAAAGTATATATATTCTTGATAAGCATCAATAGCCGAGTCGATTTAGCCATGTCTGTCTGTCCGACCGTCTGTCCGTCCTTCTTGTTGAGCGCCTGGATCTAAGAGACTATAAAAGCTAGAGCCACAAAATGTTGCATCCAGATGGCTGTATGCTCACAGTGTTACAAGTGTATTTTTAAAATGAGCCCCGCCCCCTTCCGCCCCCGCAAAGAGCGAAAACCTCCCCAGCCACAATTTTGAAGATAAAAGAAAACTATAAAAACCATTCCGTAGGGAAAGACCATATCTACCAGATCACCAAATTGGGATCCGATTGCACCATTATTACAGCCATAATGAAGAAATTAATTTGCAGTGGCTCATTTTTGAAATACACTGGTTTCAGTGTGAGCATATAGGATGCCTGGATGCAAAATTTGGTGGCTCTAGCTCTTATAGTCTCTGAGAACTAGCCGACAAACAAGACGGTCAGACGGTCAGACGGACAGACGGACAGACAGACATGGCTCTATCGACTCGGCTATTGATGCTGATCAAGAATATATATATACTTTATGGGGTCGGAAACGTTTCCTTCTGTGCGTTACATACAACCGTTATTCGCACAAATACAATATACCCTACTTACTCTTTGAGTACCGGGTATAAAAAGAGAAATAATGTAAAATGCCAAATGTAAAATTCGAAAAAATACACAGGTACAGCTAAGGTACAGATGTCCTACTGAGTACTGGGTATAAAAGTTGTGACGCGTAAGAAGCGTCTCACACATCCCTTCTCGTTTTTTCGTTACAAGTGAACCACAAAATGACAAATCGTTCATGTGTGGCTTCCCAGTCACAGCCTCGGTCAGATCCAGTCCCAGATTGTCGTGTATTTTCGGCCACACACTAATTTCTTAATTAAATTTACTAATACATTTTACACTTTTCTTTCCGCAGAGAAGATTCCGTGCACAGGTGTGTGTGTGTGCGTGTGTGTGTGGATTCGCTTTGCATTGATCTAGTCAATTAGTGGGTGTTCGAACGCTGATCGTTAGCCTGTTTGTAAATAACATGATATGCACATCGCAGGCTAAATGAAAATGTATAACAGAATATTTAAAATGTCTATATACATAAATTCCGCTGAACTTGCCAGACTGTTGTCTGTTGTCTCTCAGTGTGTGCTGGTGCCTTAGATACGATATGCATATTGATAGATTTATAATATATTTAGGTACTATCTACTGGTCTCCATTTGCTGGTTTGTCGCTCTTAATTTATCTATTCAACTATGTATTTTCACTTTGAAAAAGTTTCCTCTGTCAATGAGTAGAGTCAACAAAGTTTGTTTTTTGCTGCACCATCGCCAGGCTTTGGAATTTACTTTGAATTTTTACGAGTATTGAATGCAGCGCTCGGAGCACACTTTAGCAGCGATTTAAACTGGATTTCTTCTCTCATATTTTCACCAATTCACAAATTCTTCACTTAATAAAATAGCAGCACCAGCCCCAGGCTCCACTTAATATGCACCTCTGCCGAATCTGAATGGGCACCAGTCGCTGTCGACTCGCCATCGACTCTCACTAGATGTGTTTTGTTCGTTTCGATTTTAATTAATTTGTTGCTTGGTTTGTTTACAGATCGATGAAGTTGGAGCCCAGACCATAAGGGAATTACATTTTCGCATGCACAGCGCATTCACAGCGATGACGACGATGATGATCGTTGATCCGATGATCGTTGCTGTTGCTGAACAATTATTTAATTAATGCCAAAAAAAAAACGTTACAACAGATGGTCCCTAGACATTCTCATCGGAGTAGGACATGTAGAGGAAGTAGTCCTTGTCGCGATGCTCCTGGTACAGCGATCCCATCGTGGCCGATGTCGGGGGAATCACATTGTTCACAATGAAGAAGAGAGCAGCATCGGGGCTGAGCTTGATGCGCTTGCGAATGAGAAAGTAAAGCTGCCCCACAGTGAGGTCGGCAGGCACCAGGTACTTCTTCTTGTCCAGTTCGGGGTGTCGCGTCTTGGGTGCCTTCTCCACGATGACGGGCACACGGTCGGGATAGCGGCGGCGCACCTTGTCGCCCTCATTGCGCCGCTTCTCGAATGTGTGATCCTTCTTGTACTGAAAGTTCATGTTCATTTTGCGAGAATTACAATTCCAAAATGACGAGAGAGATTTAAATTTGTAGTAATTATTTGATTGGGCTATTTTAAAATCTTGTTGACTAGATTCTCTTAGTACATAGCTATTTACTAATAAGTCAAGGCCTACTTCCATTTCTGCTTTCACTTCAGCCTTGACAGGAGCCAGTGACCGACCGCAGGGCAACAAGTGGGAAAGAGGCGGAAATAAAAGCGAAAGCTTTTCACCCACAAATCAAGCCCACACATGAACCGACATGAACAGACATTCACCGACACGCACCGACACTAACATGCACGCACCCATAAAGAAACTATATAAGGAGGTCTCGTCGGAAAAAATTTGGCAAACGTGCGAGTGAAAGGGCTCTCGCTGTAAGTGTGAGGGCAACGACAATGGAGTGTGCTGATTAATCATATTATCATCATCAATCAATAGTAGTCTGTGTTTTGAAAAAATAAACATTTTGAAAAAATTTGAAAACAAATTTTGTTCGCAACCAAACTTCCGCGTCGACAAGCAAACGAGCACTGAGAATTGGGAAAAGCAGCGAGTAACTCTGCCACCGACGAGGCCTCCTTATATAGTTGCTTTATGCACGCACCGCACCCGAAGCTAAAACAAACAACTTTGCTTTGCTTTGCTTCGATTCAGTTCAGTTCCCGTTACGTTACGCGGCTGCCCTGGCTCTCATTTTGCGTTTGTTGCTGAAGTAGGTCGGTCGGCTCGGGCTCGCTTCGGTTCGGTTCGGTGTCGTTACGGTTTTGTTTCGTGTCGTCGGTTTGTGCTTAAGCTGGCTTCCGGTTTGGGGAGCATCGCGAATATTCCATTGCTGTGGCTCGGGACCTCAACAGGTGCACTAGACTCGAGTTGCGTTCTGCCAGTGATAGCGAGCAAATATGGCGGTACGGTTCGTCCTCTGAATCTACAGGATTACCCGTGCAATTTAAAAGTAATTCAGTTTTGTGAGCATCTGAAAAATGCTTTGTGCCATGAATTGTTTACCCACGGCAAATTAAACGAAAAGAAACTGCGAATGAAACTCGGGGAAAGTGTGTACTAAACATTACCAAAGATTTAGGTACAGCAAAAAAGTGTTTTCGCTACCATTACGGAAAAGCAAAGCCATCATAATTCTATATTTAATCGCACATGTGATGGTGCGCGTCATATCAGTGGAATAAGTTATTACAGAATCCAGAGCCGCCTTTCATGTATATTCGTAGGCCGTAGGGCGTAGAGCGGCGATTGTGCGGTGAGTGCGTGTATCCATAATATAATCAGACATTATTTTGTGCTCCCTACATGGGTGTGAAATCCCGCCACACATTGTTCATTTCGTAATCTCGAAAGGGTAATCGGTCGGTTCTGTCATTCAGTAATTGATGCTCAATGCACTCACAAATTGTTAGCACATGACTCTGCAGTTTGGTTTGTGTTCTCCGCAGAGAGAACCCTATTTTCATAGCAAATCGGATGATAAACAGTGTCATAAGAAGGAGCAACCAATGAACTAGAACAGCTGCCAGTATGATTATGTTCAAGGAACCAATGAACCAACCATTCTCCTCTCCGCTGGACACACAAATAAAGTTAATTTATTTTTAATTGAATTTATCAGAATATTCTAGTGAGAGGCGGGAGCTTCACTCTCCACTCTGTCTCTGTCCAGCTTTGTTCCACAAATTGTTACTAACTTGTTTTATAATGCGATTAATGCCGCAATTAACAATAATTCGTCAAAAATGACACCAGAACGACAGCAAAGGCAGAGGCAGACAATGGCCCGTCCAGTCCAGTCTGTCCGTCTGTCCGTATGCTCACTGATGCGAAACAGTTATGGGAAACAGTTGCTGGCACCTAATTGGATGAGCTTTGATGGCTCCATTCGTTTTGCACCATTAAAGGATGCAGGCAGCCAATTAAGCAAATTGCTTCCATCGCATATCAAAAGGGAAATCATCGAAGGATTGGATTGGCATCTGCATCCGTATCCATCCGAGATACGTCGAGTCGGTTGGTACTCGAACTGCTAACTATTCGTTCGCGCTTTGATTTTGAGGCAAACAATCAAGCGCAGAGCCTGCCAATCAATTGAAATATTGTGTAAATAATTTACTCAACTCATTTTCTATCTCTTGAACAAACTTTTCGTATGCTCGAATAATTTTATTATCGGTCTGTAAACTGATTGCGTCATTGGCACATCAACTAAACTTGGATACGGAACAGCAGCAGCAGCAGCAGCACGTGGAAGATTTGTTGGCCAGATGACATTCCGATTTGATCTCCCTGTGGCTCCTTTGGTTCATGGCGGTTTGCACATTCCGCTGTAAGGTCGCCAGTCTAAAGGGTGCTAATTAATTGCTTAATTATGCCCTTTATTGATTGCATGCTCTATGGGGTTCCATGGTCCATGGGGAATGTAGACCCTATTCGGTAGGTAGCATTGTGTGCACTTTGTACCCACGGCATATAAGACAATAAAGCGTTAAAGCTGGAACTGTAGCTGTAGCTGGAGCACATGCGAGAACAAATATTTGTTAATTAAAATGTAGAAAAATGGCAGGCACACACCTGTCGGCAGGCCTTTGAGCTGCTGCTGCTGCAGATAAGCTATAGCTACAGCTATAGAATTATGGAACTAGTTTTTGGGTTAAACGGAGATTCTACGGTTCGGCATTCCCGCCCCAAATTCTGTTTATTGACCACTAATTACGAGCAACTGAAACTGAATGTTTCAATTAGTGTTGCCATTTCGGAATAAATATCCATGAAACGTGATATGAATATACATATGTATGTACTTATGTACATACTTATCTACATTGTATCTACATTGTGTCTAAAAATAATGCATGAAGTTAAATATGCTATTTTATGTCGATGATAACAAATGTTAATTAAAACTCCCCACTCAGTATTTGCTTTGTGTCTGTTTGCCCGTGTCAGTGTCCTCTCGAGGTTTCACTGTACATTGTATCTCTCTCTCTCCCTACGGATGATTGCCTAAGAAATTTGCTGCGAATATTTCGATTTCGATTGCGTTTAACGTCTCTCCCTTTTTGGAAATCAATCGCACACGCGTCAGAACCGAACCGAGTCGCAGAACGTGAGCAACCAATTCACATGTTGCGGATCGGATCGGATCGGATCGGGCTGGATGCTATTTAACTTTATCATTTGGCTAGCTATTCTTCGCACAGCTTGATGACTTTATTATGCACTCTCTGGCACTCTCTTATCTGACACATCTTACAGGCTTACCACAAGATGAGCAAACGGAATCATTCCAATTAGTAAGCGACAGATTGTGACAGCGAGAAAGCCATGCGGCTGGCATTACGCTCTTAGGATCTGCCGTAAGTGTGTACACTACTCACAGGAGACATGCCGAGGACGGAGTGCCCGTCAATTGAGTTCCTCTTCCTGCTGCTGCTGCTGCTCTGTGGCCGACATCACGCATACGCCCTGGATGTGGAGGCGCTACGGGATAGCAATTGCCACGACAGCCACAACGGTTTTGATATCTATCCCTATACCAATATCAATACCAACGCTAGTCCCAGTCCAACTTTGATGCCATCGACCCTGACACTGACACCAGCGCCCGCGCCCTCTCCCTGGAAGTGTTGCTGCTGGAATGCATCTAATCAAGTAAGTGTCTGATGTACGCAATGTAAACCATATAAATACATACATACATACATACATACATAACTGTTTATACAACAATAAACGTGGACAAACAGCCTTAAGTGGTCAAGAGTCTGCGGATATTGAATTAATCAACTAATTTTCTGCACTCAACACCCACTCGCACTCGCACTCTCACTGCCACTCCCACTCCCACTGCCACTGCCACTGCCACTGCCACTGTATCTGCTTTTCCACACAGAGCGAAGAAGAGGTGGAATGCCGCTGTGAGGGGGAAGAACTCAATCGAGTTCCCCAGACACTGAAGCTTCCCATTCAGCGTCTAACCATCGCCTCTACGGGATTGCCACGCCTGCGTTCCACCGGACTGAAGGTCTATGGCCCCACACTACTTGATGTGTGAGTATCCAGGAACTAGGAGCCAGAAAGGGATATCTATGACTATATGAGCTGTGTGTGTCCTTTGTCTCCGAAACAGAGCCTTCACCGACTGTCTGCAACTGGAACTGATACAGGACGGCGCTTTTGCCAACTTAACGCTGCTGCGAACAATGTAAGGCCTGATTGTAATTGTCAAGTGTCAGGACAGTAATCAACTGCAGCTGATCACTGATTATACAGATATACATACCATATATACTATCCATCTACTTGTAGCTACATTTCGAATGCACCCAAACTGACCTTCCTGTCGCGGGACGTATTTGCTGGCATTTCGGGCACCGTTGAAATAATGTAAGTCAAATCAAATTATCCATAGATGAGTTGGGTAAATGTATGTAGAAGTGTGAGTGTGTGTGTGTGTGTGTGTGCAGCAAGGAGTGAGTGAGAGAGAAATATTTCTGCTTGTTGCTAGCTTCAGCAAAGCAAAGGGTTTTCAGTTTGTCAGAATTTGCTCTAACAGCAGAGATCCAAAGGGAGAAATGTGCGAAAACAAAAACAAAAGTATAAGTAGAAGGGGGGGGGGAGTGCATACCTTTGTTACCTGTTGTCTGTAACTGTGTATACACACACACACACACACACACACACACACACACACACACACGCGTACATTAAAGCTAAGGCCCGGGAGCAGAGTGCTATGTACAATGCAGATGCGATGCGATGTCAATAAATAAGCACTCTGAGGGGTAAATTTTGTTGTTGTTGTTGAGGGAGGGGTATACTGTGAGCTTTAAGTTTATCCATGGAAAATGGCAAACTTGCATCAACTTTGCAAACTTCATTACAAAATTCCATTCTTGACATTCTCGGCCGCAGACGCATCATAAACGGCGGACTAACCAGCGTTCCGGACCTGAGCCACCTGCCGCCGCATAACATTCTGCAAATGATGTGAGTTGAGTGGCGGATTGGTAGGGCTAGTTAACTTCATGGCTAATTTGCTTTCATTTATCCCCCGCAGAGATCTCGATAATAATCAAATCAATCGCATAGATACTAAATCCATCAAAGTAAAGACTGCCCAATTGTATGTATTTTGCACCATGTATTACCCACCCCCATTCAAGTAGCTCCAAGTAATCTCTGTTGTAATCTTTCATAGCATTTTGGCAAACAATGATATACGCTACGTGGATGATTCGGCATTCTTTGGCTCAAAGATAGCAAAACTGTGAGTAGAAACCCAATCCCATTAAGGGATAGTAGATAATGGTTTGATTTTTATGCAGCTCCCTGAAGGATAACCGAAAGCTGAGTGAACTGCATCCGAATGCATTCCATGGCATCATAGACATAACAGAACTGTAAGCAGTAATACCAATAAATCAAAGAATAGAAACTCCATCATGATCTCGTTCTCAGCGATCTCTCTAGCACTGCGCTTGTGGGCCTGCCATCGGCGGGACTCCAGACCATTGAGGCATTGTATATCCAGAATACGCACACCCTGAAGACGATACCCTCCATATACAACTTTCGGGTAGGCCAAGGCCACATGCCTTTAGCTTCTCCCCGACTAGCGACTAGCGACTAGCGACTAGCATTCAATGTTTTCTTCCAGAATTTGCAGCGCGCATATCTCACACACTCGTTCCACTGCTGCGCCTTTCAGTTCCCCTCGAGGCACGATCCCGAGCGGCATGCCCAGCGTGTGCGGGAGATTGAAAAGTGGCGTGAGCTGTGCCAGAGTCAGCGTCTGGCCCGCAAAGCCGAGAGAAATGCAAATGGTTCTGCTGGGCAATGGCAGATGCCGGATGATTTTGGCAGCTTTGACTCTGAGGAAGTCGTGGAGGCGGTGACGGATGCCTCCTCCACCTCCGCCTCCGCCAGTCTGTATGCCTCCTTCGACTACATGGCGGATACGACCATCAACCTGGGCCAGTTTCACGAGCAAATCACTATTAATCCAGACGATGGACAGTCGGCCGAGTACTGTGGCAACTTTACATTCAGGTGAGAGTTCTGCACTCCACACTGCACTCCACACTGCAGCACACACCAATTACCTTTGTTTTTTGCTAGGAAACCCAATGTGGAGTGCTATCCCATGCCCAATGCTTTGAATCCGTGCGAGGATGTCATGGGCTATCAATGGCTGAGAATCTCGGTTTGGATAGTAGTCGCCCTCGCAGTTGTGGGCAACGTCGCCGTGCTGACAGTAATTCTATCGATTAGGTAACGGTGAATGGAAATGGGGCGCCGCAGAATGTTGTAAGATAATCTCGAACCCCATCGAACCCCATTGCAGGCCCGAGTCGGCGTCGGTGCCGCGTTTCCTTATGTGCCACCTGGCCTTTGCTGACCTCTGTCTGGGTCTCTACCTTCTCCTGATTGCCTGCATCGATGCCCATTCCATGGGGGAGTTCTTCAACTATGCCTACGATTGGCAATACGGTTGGTTGGTTGGAGGCCGCGGATTTGTTTTGTTTTTAATTTGCATTCCCCTCTCTGTCGCACAGGTGTGGGCTGTAAGGTGGCCGGATTCCTCACAGTGTTCGCCAGTCATTTGTCGGTGTTCACGCTGACCGTGATTACCATCGAGCGTTGGCTGGCGATTACACAGGCCATGCACCTGAACCATCGCATCAAGTTGCGCCCCGCGGCGATAATCATGCTGGCTGGCTGGATTTACTCCGTGCTAATGTCCTCGCTGCCATTGTTTGGCATTAGCAATTACTCATCGACCAGGTAAGCACTCCCAGCACCCATGTACGCCTACATCACGAACCGAACTGAATCCTCTGCGTCCGCTTGCAGCATCTGCTTGCCGATGGAGAACCGCGATGGATACGACACTGCCTACCTCATTGCCATTCTCGGGTGCAATGGTGTGGCCTTCTCCATCATTGCCGTGTGCTATGCCCAGATCTACCTCTCGCTGGGCCGCGAGACGCGTCATGCACGCCAGAAGAACCCCGGGGAGATGAGTGTCGCCAAGAAGATGGCCCTGCTGGTGAGTAGAAAGAGAGCAAATGAGAGGATCGATCTACTTGAAACATATTTTAGGTCTTTACCAACTTTGCCTGCTGGTCGCCCATTGCTTTCTTTGGACTCACCGCACTGGGTGGCTATCCGCTGATAAATGTCACCAAATCCAAGATATTGCTAGTATTCTTTTATCCACTGAACTCGTGTGCGGATCCCTATCTGTATGCCATACTAACATCGCAGTACCGCCAGGATCTCTTCACCCTGCTGTCAAAGTGAGTCCGAGAGTCAGACTGTCTCTGTAGCCATAATTTGTGCCTCGAATTTCACATTGCAGATTAGGGTTCTGCCGGCAGAGCGCTTTAAAGTACAAGCACAGCTCCTCCATTCAGGCCACATCGCGCTTCACCATCCACGGATCCATGCAGCGGCACGGATCACTCACCTGCAAGATGCAGCCGATGCTGGGCACGGAGACGCAGAGCATGCTGAAGAGCAGCGAGGATTATGTTTAAACTGATAACTGGAAACCGAAGCCCATGTGTATTCTGAATACAATTCTCTTCTACCTGTTTGTGATATATGATGTATACATTATTTTTATCTGTATTTTGTTTTGCTTTACGCTAAGTAGCTCTATCTCTCTATACGACAAAGAAATACGTTACGTTAAGTTTTTGTTATCTGCTGAGCCAGTGCATCACATTATTGAAAATGTTCTACCCACTAAGATTGTTTTCTAAGGTTCCTGCTAAAGATTTCAATGGAATAAACTTTAAAATAAACCCAAAAACAAGTTAAACTTACTTGAACAGCAAGGGAGAATAGCAAAGAGAGCTCCTCCGCTAATGCCATCTCCTTTACTCCTTCGCGCCTGTCTTTTGCTTAAAATAATATTATTATATCGAATAGTCGATAGATTCGTCTTGTCATACTGACAAAAGTTCGAAGTCGTGGAACATGCCACTCTGTCGAGAGCTCGTTGGCATGAGCTGAACTGAACTGAACTGGGAAGCAACTGTGGAAAATGCAACGTGCTGCGCTTATCTGTGTTTATCTGTGCATTGTTATTGTAAAATGTACGCACTGCTACAAGGAAATACCCGGACTGAGTGGCAAGATGTTCCCGAAGACTGCCACCTTCCACTTTCCGGAGTACGCCTACAAGGAGACTAGTAAGAATGTAAGTTCCGAGTTTATTGATTTTTCTCTGTGCCGGCTGAATCCCTGAATCGTTCACAAATCGCTTCTAAACAGGAAATAACCTACCACGAACAGGAGGTGGCCTGTGAGGAGCACACCCAGTGCATCAATCTGAACGCGGACGTGTCCAAGATCAACTGCATAAGGCGCTGCATATCGTCATCCTGCTACCAGGACATCTATGCCTTCAACGAGGTGAGTAAACTCAGCGTATGAGCGGATGAGGGCTCGTTTCGGAACTCTCATCCCCATTGTGGTTTTTGGTTTTTGGTTTTTGGTTTTTGTTTTTGCTTCAGCTGGAGGAGGGTGAAATCGATGTGAGACTGAACTCCTTCAAGGGGTGTGTCATCCAGAGAATGTAGCAAAAGTCGCCGCTCCTGCACCATTTATATCTCACGGATTACCTGCAGGAGATGCAATGGAAGATCACCGAATACCTTCGCCAGTGGATTCCCCTCACCTAACTGATCCTCCACCCATTGCCTTAAGGAGTGAAAGTAATAATAATACAATAATGATAATAATTAATAAACTATTTGGTCGGTCATGTCTCGAAATGAAGTTGTACGATTTGAGGGTTACCTTAATTTCGATTGTTGTTGTTCTATTCAATTACACAATTGTTGTGGCTACAAAAGTAAGCAATTTCCCCAGGAAAATGCTGTTTCAGTTTCAGTTTCAGTTTACGACAGCTATCGGAATTGGCTCCTCTCCTGCATGTAGCCTGCTCCTCCCTCTTCAGATCAATCAAGCAAAATCAAGCGTGTTGTATAAATACAACACATACACATACACACACACACACATATCAACGTTGCACACACACACACACACACACACACACACACATGCGCCTACGCTTACGCATATTTGTGCTAGAGCGGCGTTTAAGTTTAGTTCGGTAATTAAAAGCCAAATGCTCATAAAACGACAATTTATTAGCATTGTCGTGGAGTAGAGTAAGTATATGTCCCATAGGGGTGGGAGAGGGGGGGTAGGGAGTGTTTGTTCGGCACACTTTGGGTGGTGGATGTGCTGGATGGATAGCGGATATGCCCGATGTGCGTGTGTGCGCGCCACAATTGCATATGGCAGGAGTTGGGGCAGTTGTCGGAGTCTCGGTGGGTGTCGGTGGGTGTTGCGTTTGAGTTGTGTGGAAATCCCTATGGATTTTTAATGTACTTAATGTGAGTGACAGCTACGGAATGGGCACGATCGATTTTCGCGCACACTCGTCACGCCTCCTCCCCCATCAAGTGAATGTCAACTGTTAAATCCCCATGCACTCCCACGCACTCAGACGTTATCAATTACAGTAAACCCATTTATTTACATACATACATCTGCATATAAAGTATGCAAGCCTATGCAGGCTTCCATCAACCCACTCCACTCTCTCCCACTCTCTTTTCTTAATTCCATCGTGTGTCGCATCCTTTAGAATCCGCCGGAAAACACAAAGTAAATTCATAATTAATACATTCGCAAAGAGTGATAAAGAAAGAGAAACGAAATTAACGCGGCCTCTACTCGTATAGTGAACCCTCGCCTCTATGTACAAAGCCCCCGCACCGACACCGACACCGACCCCAACACCAACGCCAACGCCGGCAACGTGAACCCGTGCCATGACCCAAAGCAGCACGGAATGGAACGCACACGAAAGGCAGGCAGCGGGGTAGAGTGCGGTGGAGTGGCAAGCGTTTGGCAAATTAGCCAAATGCGTTATTTGGCCGACAAGCAGCTCGCTCAGTCGCTCACGGGACGTCCTGGCGTTTGGCCGCAAAAAATCAGCCCCACAGCAGCACGGGATAGACGGACAACCTCCGCGAACTGCGTGGGAAAGTGTTGCCTAAAAGTTACTACAAATTTGAAAAGGATTTCTACGCAATATAAACCATGTTCCAGCAAAACTGATTAATTGGTTAGTTCACGAATGAAACCATCCAAAATATCCCAACATCTGGCCATAATCAACTGATAAATTTATCAATTAACTTGCTATCTGCTATCAGTCAGTCTATAATGAGACTGTGTGTATCCGTGAGTGTGTGTGTGTGTGTGTTGTGTTGTTGGTGCAACAAGTCTGTGCGTCTAATCAAATAAATACATATGAGAGTTAATTGGGGAATGGAATGCACATTAATGAGACTTGAGCCCCAGGACTTGGACCTCCGCCTTCGCTTCAGGAACTTGTGTGGGTGCTCGCCAGCTGTTGCCCCTCCACCTATGTATTTACACCTTCATCACCATCATTCACCTCTGCTCTTAATGGGCCATAACCCTGCTTGATGTCGATGCTTTTGATGAATCATAGCAGAGCGGGAGAGGGAGCAGCACCCGTGCGTCTAATATTTTCGTTTATGTTTGTACTTAAGCCACGGGCATCCACGGTACTTTGACTATTCAGTTTTACTCATCTTAGCCATACCCATACCGTGTACCGCGTACCGCGTGTTCGTTCGTGATCTCCCCACTAAGCCTTCACTCTCGTAATCATTTTATATCAGAATTTTCCAAATATTTTCCGAACAAAACCTGGCAATGTGCGCCCAAATAAAACAGCAGCATCAAAAACGATAAAAAGAAAATCACAGCAAAAATGATAAATTCGAAAAGTAAAGAACGAAAAGTAGCCGAGGAATTTTTTTCGATGCCGCCCTGTGTTGATGGTTTTGTTGCTATTTGTGTACTTTAATCAACAACACAAATGAAAAACAATAAAGAAACTACAAGAACAGCGAAGCCGAAGCTGGGGATACCCTTTAAGATTTGAGTGAGCTTCAAAGTTGTTAGACGGATAAAAGCCGACGAAGTCCCGATCCAGTGCACTCCAAACTTCCCTAGGACTTTATATGAATCTAATTTGTACCCTCTCAAAATGTATATAAAAATTTTGCGCTGACTGCTTCGCTCAGCAGAGGAAAGGGGAGTATCATATCAGGTTGTACACCCCTATGGCCGACAACCAACTGTCAGTTTGCAATCAACGCGTGCCAGCGGCAGCTGTGCTTTTCTATAAGATACTTACTTGTAGGTACATTTCGGGCGCCATTACTCACCAGATTCCCAGTACACTTAGATCCGTGACATGTAAGCATCGATACGGAATCGATGGCCACCCACGCCTACTGGTTGTAGTTGTGGTAAATGTTGCAGAGAAAGAAAACACCAAAGAGATTGTGTGAAGTCGGAGCATTGAGTTCTCATTATACGAGGGAGAGAGAGAGAGAGAGAGAGAGTTGTGGCAACTGTAAATATCCCACTTTGCTTTGCTTTACCGTTCATGTCTGGAAGGGTCAGAAATTGTTTCTGTAGTTTACGTTGCAATTCTACCTGCGCTGATCAGTCCGCGTGCGCTATGTTGGCGCGGCTTGTTGGTTGCTCTGCAGTGCAAGTTCGTGTCATGCATCGAGACCCAAGCTGGTGGATGATTTGAAGAACTTAAATAAAGAACTTAACGCAGCTTACGCTTTATTTTTCTATCACATTTGAGAGAAATGTACCTGAGAGATGTTTGGTAGACATTCGAGAGCGATGCAGCGAAACCAGTTTGTGTTTATTAACGGGGTGTGGAACCATGCCATAGCTCATGTGCATGTCTGATCTATCATATGTATGTACATTGTACCTATAGTGTCATCCGATCGAAGGTTGCTCTCGGTGTAGGCTGCCGCCAAATGCACATTAAAACAACAATTCACAGGAATGCCTTTGGATATGGCTCCATGTGTTTGATTTATTTATTGCCAAACGCTTTATATAAACAATAGAATGGAAACAGATTTTCGGCCGCATTCGTACAATCGTACTCGGAATCCGAATCCGAATCCAAATCGAAATCGAAATGTAATGGGAATATTAATTGGGGGATCATTTAAATATTTTTCGGGCCGTGCAAGTTCCGCTGCATAATTTATGGACGCTAATTACTTTGTTTCGTGTGCTGTCCAAGGCCAATTACGCTTACTTATTGCAATTTATGTGGCCACAGTCCGGTCCGGTGCGGTCCGGCCGTAATTGGAAATTGTGTAAGGCAGACATCGCCGGCTCCACCAACACTGAGAAAACTCACAAAAGTGTTCTAAATTGATGGCAAAAGTGATCAGAGAATCAATCTAGAACTTCTCTTCCAGAGACTCATTCACATTCAATCGAGAGGATGTTGCAATCATCAGCCAATGACTCCAGCAGAATTCAGCAACTTTTACTAGCTGGAGTTTTTCCCTCAGTGTACTGTTTGAATGCAATTCTGGTGCGGTATCTCATCCGTCTGGTATTTTTCTAACGACGACGCCACCGAGTCGGACCGGACCGGACCCAGCCCAGTTTGTGTTGGCAGTTGATTAAGTGAACCTTTCCCCACGCAGAATCAATTTGTAGATGTCCAATACGTACACCTTGGCCGAGGCCACGAAGGAGCGATAGACAGAGGGAGGAGTGTCCACAGTCCACAGTCATGACCATGCCACTGAACAGTATCAACGGAAGCCACTTGCCACGTGCAACTGCCGACCCGCATCAGCCTCATCATCTTCCGCATCAGCAGAGCATGCTGCTCTATTCCGGACTCCTCTCCTCGGCCCTGTCCGTCGCCACGGACTCTAGTGTCAGCACGAGTACGAGTACGAGTAATAGCCTGCTGCTCATTCAGACGACAACCAGTGTGACAAAAGCAGCAGCAGGACTGGGATTGGGATTGGGATCCGCAGACACATTCACGCTCAGGGCTACGACAGCGACAGCGGTGCTGGGAGTGCCGTCGGTGAATTCATATTTGGTGAGCATGCCCTGGCCAAAGTCCCTGGCCGTGGCCCTGTTCCTGGTGCTCATCCTCGTCACAGTTGTGGGCAACACGCTCGTCATACTCGCCGTGATGACCACCCGCCGGCTGCGCACGGTCACTAACTGCTTCGTGATGAACCTAGCCATAACGGACTGGCTGGTGGGCACCTGTGTGATGCCTCCATCGGTCATCCTCTACATAACAGGTGGGTGAGGGTCCATCTAAAGCCCAAATAGCCCTTTTGACAGTCGGGATTTATTGCACTCCTCGCAAGCAAATCCCTTGCCGGTCAAAAGTATTCAGTTCGATAAATATTTACTCCGTAGGCACCTGGCGCTTCGGCTGGATACTGTGTGACATTTGGATCTCCATGGATATACTCCTCTGCACGGCCTCCATTCTCAGTTTGTGTGCCATCAGCCTCGACAGGTAAGCGTTCGTTCAACTGTTCGTTGGGATGTTCAGGGAACTAATTTCTTAATTTGTCGTTGATGTCATAGCCATAGTCCGCCCTGGCCACCGTTACAAAGCCAAATCCAAAGCCATGGCCAAACACTATCGCTGTGGGATGGGATAGATGGGTTAGACAAGGTGCAAAAACAGTGCAAAATAATTTATTTGTTGACGTTTTTATTGCCCCATGACTGTTGCCAGCAGAGAATACCCTTTGACACCACAACTGATGAGCAGCAAGGATTGGGTGGGGCTGTTCACAGTTCACAGTCCAAAGTCCACAATCCGTAGTCCATCCTTCGTTTGCTTTTGTTGGAAGTTTCAATTACATTTTAATGGCATTTCCAAGTTTTGTGTGGTGCTCTCTGCTCTGTTTTCCATTCTCTGCTCTGCTCCTCTGACTTGGGCCATGAGATGGCGTTGGCGATAGCTCACGACCTGAGTGTTGGTCCTGGTGCTGGCCTCGGCTGTGGCTTTATGAACAATATGTCTGTTTGGCTTTTGTTTTTTGTTTATTGTATTTTTCACCATTTCCTCCATTTGCCATTTGCCGTGCGTTTATTGCCGGGCTGTGGCTCTGTGGATCTCTCTCTCTCTCTTTCAGGTATCTGGCCGTCACACAACCCTTGACGTACTCGAAGAAGCGCCGCTCCAAGCGCCTGGCCCTGCTCATGATACTGGTCGTGTGGATAACGGCCCTGTCAATCACATGTCCACCGTATTTGGGCTGGTAAGTAAACCCCCAATAACCACCCAAGGCTCCCGACTCAATGCTCTTTTTTATGGCCTGTCTCCCGATGCCTCGATGCCCCTCCACTGATACCTTTACTGGTGGCTAATGGTATTGGTATGGATAGATAATGGCCAACAAAGGGCCCGTTCCAGTTTCAGTTCCGAAATACATTCGCCGCTTATTTATACACAGACTTTCCACACAATTTCCAGCTACGCCTAAAACATTACGTAATTGCTTCAGCTGTTGTTCTGTTTGGTCTTCTTGCACCCATTACATTGAAGTTTTAATGAGTTGTTAATGACTCTGAATGCCGCGCCACAGCACAGTGGCCTTAACTTTCACTGGTACACACACATACACACATATGTACAAACATCCATAAAATCACTCGTATGCTGCATACTCTGAGGCGCCTCAAATTAACCGAAACACATTCGAGCATGTTCTTTCCACTGCAGTTTCCACATTAAAGCCACCGACTAAGGTCGAATGGGAGCCACAGCTGGGTGGCACATTACAAAAATTCTTCAAATTGTTAGTGTGGGGGGAAAAAGCGCAATTATAATCAGTACAAATGCCACAGAAACACTTTGAGATTCGTTCAGGATATACATATATATATATATATATATATATATTTATATAATATATAATATAATAATCAATTTTAGTTGAGATTCACAAGATCCCAACTGGTGTCACTCATGGTATGGGTATCCCAGGACTCCACTTTCGCCTGGGTCTTGGCATTTTCTGGGAATAGATTTAAAAGTTCGGATTTGTGTGGGCTAAATGACCATCCGGCTTGAGGAGTAGATGTTCGTTCGTAAAAGGGATTCCTTCCAAATGGGAATCCGAGCAAGAGCAACAAATCCACTACTGACTTTGGGCTTGAATTCAAATTTCGCCTTGCTTAACTCACTCGGCTGTCATGGCCAAAGTCCCCAGATCCCCAGACAACCAGACAACCGACTACATATCCAATTCAAGCTGGAATTCAATTTTGCATTCTATTCGCAGGTACGAGGCGGGCCGACATCAGGAGCAGTATGTGGACTGTCGCTACAATCAGAACAAGGGGTACGTGGTCTTCTCGGCCATGGGATCGTTCTTCATACCCCTGACGGTGATGGTGTATGTCTACGTCAAGATTGGTTATGTGCTCACCTCGCGCCGACAGCGCATTGTGCGCGATGCTGTAAGCTGTCTCCATTCTCACCTGAAATGTGTCATAAAGTTTATCATCATCCCAACACACGAACAGAACTCGGAGCGCACAGCGGACTGTGACGTGGATGCCGACCAGTTTATATCCGAGTCGGAGCACTATCACTGCACACCCACAAAATGGCTGCCACACCGGAAGTCCCGCTGGAGGTTCAACTCGTTTCACGAGCAGACAGGCTCCTGCACCAACACCACCACCACCACCACCACCACCAGCGCCAGTGCCAGTGCGGGAAAGCAGTCGCTGAAGTGCTCAAAGTGCCAGGAGAAGGAGAAGGCTGCCGGACAAGTGGTGGACAAGACGCTGACCTTCAAGCACCAGCCCACGTTCTACGAACTGGTGGAGGTCTCTCGCCTCTCCTCACTCATCCACTGCTCGGCAATTAGCTGCAAGTACGGCGGCCCCTGCATGCACTCCACGCCCTCGGGGCTACACTATACGGGCAGCCAGGCCTCCTTCTCAGATACCTGTCTGGGTGCCGCATCCAAGCTGGCCGCCGAGTCGCCATCCGACTCCAGGTCGCAGCAGCAACAGCAAAAGCAGCAGCAGCAGCAGCAGTTTGACGGAGACTCTAAGGGCGGCTCTCTGCAGAAGAGAGTGTTTGACATGCAGCACCATCATCATCATCAGAGCCATCACAATCCCCACCGGATGCCGATGCCAATGCGAGTGTCGACCACGAAACGTGATAGCACAAAGACCGCCAAGACGCTGACGATTGTGATGGGCGGGCTAATTGCTTGCTGGCTGCCCTTCTTTGTCTATTACCTGCTGATACCCTTCCTGCCCGGCCCGGCGGTGCTCGAGGACCTCATGTTCGGCTTCACCTGGGTGGGCTGGGTCAATTGTGCCATCAACCCCTTCATCTACGCCTTCTACAATCCGGACTTTCGCACTGCCTTCTGGCGCCTCACCTGCCGACCCATCTGCAAGGCGAAACGCCCACCCAATCATCTTGCCATGTTCCGTGGCTAAAAAGCATCTCAGGCGTCTCCCCTTTGGAGCTGTATATCTTGATAGTTGTGCCATAATCTGGTCTAGCTAAAGGAAGGTTCCCTCCTATGATCCAAGCTGCGGGAAAGTTGATCAAAATTTGGTCAAAATATCTTCATCTTCCGCACCGCTTTGTCCCCAATGTATCCCAAATACCATATAGATTGACACAATCTCCTCTTTTCCTAGTCGGCAAGATGTAAGTACCTTTAAGTAGAGCATCATCCATAGCATATCCATTGTTTTAGTAGTGTTTTCTTGCCGAGCCATTCGAGCAGATACAATTTAATCCCGGTTAAGATTCCTGCACTAAATCAGATTCTATCATATTTCATAAATATATATAAATGTGTGTGTGTGTGTGCAGTGTGACTGGAGAAACAAAAGACAAATTATAGTATTTGCTGGGTCTTTGTTGCCTGACAGCAATTGTTTGAACTGTCTGGATCTCTGGATGTCTGGCAGATGATGATAGTGCTGCATCCTTTGTTGTGTGTGTCCAGTGTGTCCACTGTGCGAGAGTGGTCTTGTCCAGCTCTGTCACTGTGTTCAGTAGCTGCCAACGACATATCTGGAGTATCCTTTGTGGGTCCGTCCCGTCCCGTCCCTTCAGGCAGTGTCCGGCAGAGTCCGGCCAACCCATTTAATGTTTGAGCAATTGTCTGGGGGCGCTGAAACTGAAACTGAAAGTGTAACTGAAACTAAAACAGGATTTCGAAGCTTCAATTGTGTGCTGGCAGAGATTTTGAAGTGGGCCCAGAAAAAAGAATCAAAGAACAAAAGAAAAGCCTTCAGCTTTTGTCCTCTCTCTGGAATTAGGCAGCACGTTTTAGGCCACTAATAGAAGTCACTTGACTATAGACACTTTGTATATTTGTATTATGTATCTATATTTAATATTATACTTATTATACTTGTTAAATGTATTTATAAATGTTCTCTTGGAATGGATCTCTCTAAGATACAGAAGTTCTTGCAATAAAAGTGAAGTTCAACTCAAAGGAAAGACACAAAGACTTTGACTTTGGCCAACAGAAGATTATACCGGAGCCCCTATACTGCATTGAGATGTTTTCTGTGTGCCGCCAACTTCTGCTGCTGAGAGTGGCTCCCAGAGGGAGGATGGGAGGCGCCATGGAGCACTAAAATTTCCTCGCAGCCTTGGCTCTTTTTTTTTGTTGTGATTTATTATTGGAAGTGGCAACGAGAACGGAAGCAAAAGAAACGCTGAATCAGAGAGCACCCACAACGAGTGCGACTGGGATTATGGCTCGACTCCATCTCCATTGCCATCTCCATCTCCGACTCCTGCGCCGGTTCCAGCTGCGGGCTACGTGGCGATACATTAATTTAGCTGGAAATAAGGCGTGAAAAAAAGATGCGGTCATCATAATTACGAGCCCACAAACAAAGGTAGAGGCGGAGCTACCACCAACACACACATGTGTGTGGCATATGTACATATGAATATGCGACACTGTGGCAAGCAATTTGTGGCAGGTGGAGCACAGGGACTCTTTCTCTGTAATGAATTGCAACACATTTCCCTGTCACATTTCACTTTTGAGTCGAGCTCAGCGGAAACAGAAAAAGGCAGAAAGGCAGCAGCAACAGCGTCGGCCCCCCAATGACAGCGACAAGTCACCGAACCCTCTGAGAACCCCTCCCACACATACTTGTCCTCGTACACACTCGTACTGTACCGTAATTTGGTGTTTTTTCGAGGGCGGGTTAGTGGCAGTCGGGCTTCTCCTATTTACCTGGTGCCCCTTTTGCTATTGTGCTTTGTTGCCAAAGTTATGTCATCGCAACAGTTGAAAAGATCCTCTGGTTCTGGCTCTACTGCACTGCAAAAAACAAAACAAAATAAAAACAGCATCGATATTTTCAAGAATTTAACAAGTGCGCGGAACAGGAAAAACTTTTCCAATGACAAATGCTGCCTGAATGTTTTTCGAATGAACTTTTGTTTTACCCGTATTTTCCGCTTCCATTATCCTCGCTTTGCATAGTAGGGGGTGCTTGTCATTGAGTGTTCGCTGTGTTTATGTGGGCTGCGCTACCCAAATCTCTTTTGGCTGCAGAGGGGGGATTCGATCAATTAATATAATCCAGGCTGGGGCTCGGGCTCAATTAGAGTCTTAAAACTCCATTTAGAGGATGCTCTGCTGAAATTTGGTACGTAGTACCTCCCGTGGTTGTGGGGGGAGCAGCTCCAATGAAATATTCATAGCTCGACAGGACAGCGGCAGCGGAGAGGAGAGCAAGCTGAAAGCGGTCCATATTTATGGTTATTTTTCGCAACAAGCACAACTTTGCTTTCTAACCGTTCGTTCGCTGGGTTTCCGCTTCCTTTCCCTTTTGTCTGCCCGTTACTCGAAGAGTAAATAGGGTATATTGTATTTTTGCGAATAACGGTTGTATGTAACGCACAGAAGGAAACGTTTCCGACCCCATAAAGTATATATATTCTTGATCAGCAACAATAGCCGAGTCGATTGAGCCATGTCTGTCTGTCCGTATTTTCGTCCGTCCGTCTTGTTTGTCGGCTAGTTCTCAGAGACTATAAAAGCTAGAGCCACCAAACTTTGGGTCCGGACTGCTGTATGCTCACACTGAAACCAGTGTATTTAAAAAACGAGAAGGGACGTGTGGGACGCTTCTTACGCGTCACAACTTTTATACCCGGCACTCAGGACTACATCTAGATGTAGAAGACATCGCCAACCACTAGATATCGTTCACATTACAGAACACAAAGTAAAAAGCCTACTAAATAAAATGCATCAAAAATATTGGATCAGTTAATCGTATTTTCCAATTTATGAGATATTTAAAACAGAAATAAAATTGGTGCTTTTTCCCTGCACATTCTGTGAAATAATGACCGCTAGGTTTCACAGCAGGTTTTTCGAAAGTAGCGCCATCTATGAAAATTTCTTATACGCAACTTTGATGGTCACTCTTTTTCTAATACAGAGCGTTAAAAACCGAGTCTTGGTTTTAACTTTTTAAAAATTAGCTTTTGGCCACTGTTTCCGCAACTCCTCGCAACCAGTTCGGAATCAAAATCTCGAAATCTGTTCGGCCGAGTCGGAATTCAAATAAATTTAATCTCTTCCTCTTTTCAATTTCGATATTCACCTATTAAATGCATGTTCTCCTCTTTCTCTATCTATGGCCATTTCCTACGGAATGGCGTTTTAAGTTTTCTTGTATCTTCAAAACTGTAGATTTGGGGGGTTTTCGGGGGCGGAAGGGGGCGTGGCTCATTTTTGAAATACACTGGTTTCAGTGTGAGCATACAGCAGTCCGGAGCCAAAATTTGGTGGCTCTAGCTCTTATAGTCTCTGAGAACGAGCCGACAAACAAGACGGACAGACGGACAGACAGACAGACGGACAGACAGACATGGCTCTATCGACTCGTCTATTGATGCTGATCAAGAATATATATACTTTATGGGGTCGGAAACGCTTCCTTCTGTGCGTTACATACAACCGTTATTCGCACAAATACAATATACCCTATTTACTCTTTGAGTACCGGGTATAATTAGCCAGGCCCCATTCCGCCCCCGAAAAAGGGCGAAAACCTACAATTTTGAAGATAAAAGAAATCTAAAAACGCCATTCCGTAGGGAATGACCATATCTATCAGATCACCATATTGGAATCCGATTGGATTATTATTATGGCCACAATGAAGAAATTAATTTCCAGTGGCTAAACCCACCCCGTCCCGCAGCTTATATTTGTTTTTTGCACATTCTCTAATTCACACTCTGCTTCGCGCAGACACGTCTCTGCCTCGTCTCTGCCCTGACTCTGCAGTGTGTGGCTCTAGGGGAGGGTGGCGAACTAAAGGAGTTGGAGTGAGTAGTGTTGTTGATGTAGATGACAGATGAAGAAAAAATGTAAAACTTGACAAAAAATGTAAAACTTGACAAATAACCGCAAAGGTGCAGATGTAGTACTGAGTGCCGGTATAAAAGTTGTGACGCGTAAGAAGCGTCTCACACGTCCCTTCTCGTTTCTTTATTTTTTTGGTGCTGGTGAATTTGTTGCTCTTTTAATATGTATATAAACACACAAATGTGTACATGTAGGTACATACTCGTACATACTCCTACATATATGTATATGGATATCCCCTGCATTTGGTTGTGAATTCAAATTTGAAGCTGATCAATAATTCACGTCCCACCAAGAACACACTAACCATTGTTCATGGGTCCGAAATCCTTAAATAACAACGGATCTCTATCCGTGGAGAGTTGTCTTTTCGATTTATCTATTTATTTGTTTGGTTGGTTCTTCACAAAAAATGATGTTGCGTACACATAACTGTTACTATAAATATATATGCAAATTGTGCGGATTATGTATATGATATTACTCGTATTCGTCGTACATCCCTCCCTGATGAGAGATTGCACATGGCACATGGCGGATGGAGGAGCTCTTTGTGTTTGTTTGCTTTAGCCAAAAGTTTGAAATTCTTTCACCCTCTCAGGGTTTAGACCCGACATTTGAGCTGAAATTCGGGATTCTGAATTTGGTTCTGAGGAGTGAGAGGAGGATTGCGATGAGAAATGCTATGCTCCAACGTGTATATGCTGATGAGGCTTCGTACTGACTTAATCTCTTGGTCGTAGCATTGCTTGATTACGTTTATGACTTCACACGAAGCGAGGGGAATTAAAAATGATGTACAAAGTGGAGGACACTGTGATAAAAGTAGATTGCTTGGTGAAACACGTTAAATTGTACTAGGCTCTGGGGTTAGCTAAGCTGTGGCTTGATGGCCTGAATAAATTAATTCTAAATTATATAGCATTCTCTCTCTTACACACACACACACGCACACGCACTTTAGGTCTAAGGGAAAACTCTTGAAGTTGTAATGGACTCCAACTATAAACTAAATCACAGTAACTCTCTTTTAACTGGCTGATTAAAGCTAATTCTCGACTGGAATCCCCACTAAAAGTGCGGCCCGGACTTGTCGTCACTCTCTACTGTAAATCAGGCCGAATGCTATCTACTGTCTCTTGGATTTATGGTGCACCGATATCAGCTATGACAGAGTTCAGGTACAGAGAAAGTAGCCTCTCTGATATATTTGGGCACTTAACTCGAGTCTGATAGGGCGAAGCTGCCTCATAAATACTTCACACACTCGTCTGCCAAAGAGAATGCACAATTCGTTCGGACAGGTGTCGGGGTCACCAAAAGGTGACCCACCCCAGGACATGTTACACGCACGCACCCATTCCTCCATCCCTGAATAGCTGAATATTAGAGTGGGAATGTGAGCAGAGCAGAGCAGGGAAGAGATGTGTGCGCAATTTCGGTGAACCATATAACCAAGCTTTCTCAACCATCTAAACTGTCTATGCCGCTGGCTCCAGACACAGACACAAACACAGCTATTGCTACTGCTAGTGGCACTGCCATGTTGTTGCAAGTTCGACGAGAATGGAGCATGGAGCGGAAAAGTCATGCGGAAATTACTAAATCGATACGTGATGCCACGTATCAGATTTTGCACGCGCCTCCGACCATCCGCTCGTATGGAAAGCGACTGCATAAATGCCTTTAAATCATGTGCAACAGTGGAAACATATTTATTCGTGTTTGTACGGACAACGACACATCTCATTTAGCCATAAAAACGTATAGCGAACGACCAATCTATGGACGTTTCCTGCCTTGCAACGAGTCCGGTCCGAGCCACGTCCAGTGGAATCCTCGCTAGGCAGTCGAATAATCTAGGATGGAAACGAGCCCTGACGGTGAAGGGAAATGAAAA